CACAGAATCTTTATTACATATTGCCATTGTGCACCTCCTATTTTACTTTTTGATCCGACACATATTTTGGGTTTCCTGGCCACAACAAAACATGGACTTTTCCATTATAATCATATGGGAGGCGGGGGGTATCATTTAGTGAGCTCATTGCTCACAGTACCTCTAGTTTTTTTTTCGGAGAGCTACAGTTCTACAGCTATTCTTCTTCTTGACACATGATTTCCACTACCTCATATGAGCATTATTTTCGATTATGTACAGTGCAAGATTGTTTTAAATTTTAAGGAACATTTTTAGAATAAACTAGAGGTACTGTGAGCAATGAGCTCACTAAATGATACCCCCCGCCTCCCATATGATTATAATGGCAAAGACCATGTTTTGCTGTGGCCGGGAAACCCAAAATATGTGTCAGATCAAAAAATAAAGTAGAAGATGCACAATGGCAATATTTAATAAAGATTCTGTGAAAGTTTCATTAAATTTCACTCTGTGGTATAAGAGGAGTTGCGGATAATAGATGGGTACCCCAAAGCGTAACAGACAGACGGACGCGGACGGACATACCGATTACAGATTACTCTACCACTTTTCAAGTGGGGGTTATTATAAAAGACAAAACATCTGACATGTTTTAACTTTTGATCGAATCAATTTAAAGGGGCTGGGTGGTCATGGCCATTTTTAGACTATTTTGATCTCCTTTAGAAGAAGAGCTCCATATATCAAAGATATACACAAATAATCAAATTTTAAAACTAATACTATGTATGAAATTTTTCTTTGTCAAATGATAGTTGACAGCAAAAGATAGCATATCTAAAAAAATCAGTTATATCTGATTTGCTGTAAATTTGTTGACCCCCAAGTCTCCTTGAATTAAAAAGCCGTTTTGAGGTCCCCAATAGGTTCAGCACTAGAGTTGATTTAGAAAGCGAAGTTCTCGGAAGCTGGGGAGAATGCATGTATTTGTCGATCGACTGATGGGGATCTGGTGGCGACGCTCCCTAGAAGCTGGTGAATTTGTAGCTTACCTTACAGCTTAAAGGTGTCCAGAAAAATTTTGAAGTATTTGAATTTCAATCGTTGATCTTCAAATTTATCATTTAATGATGAAATACTAGTATGAAGAAAACGAATAGTATTCATGCTTTAAACAATTCAAATCGGGAACAGAGCAAACACGGACCTCTAAAACATCAGAGGTGGGATCAGGTGCCAAGGAGGAGTGAACGTCCCCTCCTGACCGGTCACATCCGCCGTGTGCTCGTTGTCATGTTCTGGAAAGACGCAGAAAATCCGTAGACAATACACAGTGTGGAAATATAATTGTTACAATTAGAATGAAAACTTTTAGTAAGCCTTTAACTTAGTGATAGATTGTACCAGTATTTGCTGACAAGGTCATTGTATCTACCATAAAACTTGAGAGGTGAAATCAAACTCCTTGTTTCGTCACTTTGTTTGTAAAAAGCTTTTCCCGTTTTAGAAATTGTTCATACTTAGAACATGATATTGCATACCTAATCAACTGAAAGCCGTAAACCCCATTTGCATGTGATAAGGGTTCACTGCTGCATGAGTAAGAAAAGTTAAAGATAGAAAAGTTGAATTGGGTCATCAAGTTTATCATAAAGCTTGGTTGTTAGACTGCCATTAACGTCTTTTTCTAGTATAATTTGCAAATATGAAACAGATATATCAGACTCTGTGGTATCTTATTTCCTTATTTCAAGCTTACTGGGATATATCAAATCACCATATGAATGGAAGTAACCATTGTTAATCGATAATACGTCGTCGATATATCGAAATGTCAAATTTGATTCGACATAATATTTTGTTCTCCTCTTTTCATATAGGAGCTTTCGAAAAAAAAAAATCTCCTTCAGTACTAGAGGTACTGTGAGCAATGGGCTCACTAAATTTTACCCCCCCCCCCCCGCCTCCCATATGTGTATAAATGGCAGTGTCCATGTTTTATTATGGGAAACCCAAAATATGTGTCGCACCAAAAAGTAAAATAGGAGGTGCACAATGGCAATATGTAATAAAGATTCTGTGAAAGTTTCATCAAATTTCATTCAGTGGTATAAGAGGAGTTGCGGATAAGAGATGGGTACCCCAAAGCGTAACAGACGGACGGACGGAATTAACGATTACTATATACCCTCCCGCTTTTCAAGCGGAGGATATAATAAATGTCTGCTAATAACGGGGCGCAATTAGTATCCATGGAAAATGCAACTGACTGTTGGAAAACCTGATCTGCAAAAACTACATAGATATTGTCAATCAGAAATTCGAGCATCATTTTGATGTCAACTTCAGAGTATTAGTACTTGTGTGCACAATCAAAATATTTTTAAGAAAATAATTTTGCAAAATTTCCAATGACAAAGTATGAAAACTTAAGTATATTAACGATTCCAATTACATTGAAAAACAGCTTTCAATACTATCAAAAAGCCTGGATTTCAATTTTTCGTGGGGAATGGTTGTATTAAGTGTAGAAAAGACTTTAGTTTAAAAGAATTTGGTAAAATATTGTGATATCAAATTTTCTACAAATTCCTTGTAGTTTTTAAATATCCACATCTTATTTACACCACTTCTCGATTAAAATAAAAAATACGAGGACGATATGCTAAGACTGCATGAATACGTACAAAATACATTTAAAACATTAGTATTATATTATCTTTTATTCTTTTAATACTTTCTATTTCTTGCAAGACCGAAAACAGTTCAAAAAGCTACCTCAGGCTGTCCAATAAGTTTAAAAATCTGTCCATTATCAAAAATAATGGACAGTATTCAATAACGTATTGGATGGCTACATGTAACTTGTCGGATTAAGAAAACACAACAAATGTGAAGTCAACACAAATAAATATTTTTAGACAATTAATATAGCATGTTTTATAGTGTAATCAAATAATATATTCTGAGTAACAGATATGATGAAATGTATGAAGGATGTGGAAATAACGAACAGTATTCAAGATCAAAAGTCCATAAAACAATACAAAATAGGAGCAGGGCAAACACGGTCCTCTACAACATCAGAGGTGGGATCAGGTGCCATGGAGGAGTGAGCATCCCCTGCTGACCGGTCACACCCGACGTGTGCTCCTTGTCATGATCGGGAATTAGTGGAAAAATCCGTCGTCAATTCAGTGCATATATAACGGACTAACAATTAGTATGAAAATCTTCAGTCAGCAATTTATAAATTGTATTTGCTGACAAGGTCATTGTATCGACCTTATGAACTTACGAAATGATGACTTTAAACGAGACTGCTGATATTCTTGTTTCATCAACTTGTTTGTCAATAATTTACCTCATTTTAGAAACTGTTCATACGTAGAGCATGCTCTTGCTTATCGAATCGACTGAGATATATAAACACCACATGCAGGTGATGAAGATATATTGCTGCATAAGTAAGGGAAGTCGACGATAGAAAAGTTAAAGTCATTACGTTTATCATAAAGCATGGTTTTTAGATTAGCATTAACGTCTTTTTCAAGTAAAATATCCAAGTATGAAACAGATGTGTCAGCCTCTGTGGTATCTTTTATCTCAATATTGGAACTCACAATGAATGTAAAAACATTAATTTGAAGGAAATATTTCCGGATTCTATTGGAAATTAATTAATTTGCACCAACAGCACACGAGGGGATATCACTGCTCCTGGAAAGCAACGAAAACTCTTACTTATTTCTTACTTGTACTTTGAATAATTTTGATCATTTCTCTGCAGGAGCACATCCGTCGTTTTTTTTCCTTTCTCCTACATTAATGCAAGAGTGTTTTGTCAATAGTCTTGTCTACTCAGTTCGCTCAATTTTTGATGCTGACTGGAGCAGAGCAAACACGTCTTGTCTAGTGATACCTACATGTTCAATGCACATCATTTTTTCAGCAAGTATTCTGCTTCAAATGTGTTCCATAATCATTTTTCTACATAAAATATAACATCAAATGGGGAATATCTGTTTTTAAAGAAATTTGACAGGTCTTTAGTACGAAACTATCCATTGCCACCCAAACAAATGTCTGGATCTGAAAAAAGTGCGTGGCCGCAACCTCTACAAGATCCTGGTACACTGCAGCAAGTTGGTGTTCTTTACAAATTAATTAATCTGGATGTATTTGTCCAGAAGAACCACCACGGTTTCTTGCCACGTTACCATTTGTTTAAACTCAGTCAACCGCTTGACAAATTCAAACGTTTGTGTAACCATCTGTAAAACCGGCGGTAAATGACGCAAATGCTACCTAAATCTTCCATACTTTTGTTACACGGTTCGCATGTTTAACAATGAGGTGCCTAATTAAATTCCCTTTTCGCAAGGGCATACTCTTAATCGTCATATTATCATATTGCTACATCAGATCATATTTAACCATTTTTTTTTTAAATATGAATAAAGGACATTTTCCTTACTTGAAAAGTGCTGCTGCTTTAGTTTAAAATATATTTTATTCAATAAGAAAAGCTGCTACTTTCCCGAAATCGAGATCATTATTCAATAGATGCATAAAATACTTTGTAAAGGTCACATATATTTCAACCTGATCTACTAGTATATAACATGAAATTTATCTAATAAGATGTGAATTCTTTTTAAAGCAGCAGCACTTTTCAAAAAGTACAAGGTGCATATAAATAATTCAAGACATAATTATTTTGATTGAAATAGGTTATGCTCTTGCGATATTAAACTTTGTGTATGATCTCCATGTAGTACACACTATATACATTTAACACGTGACTTTCAAAAAGGTAACAAAACTAGATTCAATACAGCGTGTGGGATACAATATTATTTCAATAAATTTTTAGTAATCTTGTCATTTAATAGCCTCAGAAAAATAAATCAATATTAAAAAGGTATATATTTGTACACATCTGTTTCCCGTTGATTTTTTTTTCCATAGTATGCCTTAACAGTGTTGTGCAATACTCAAAGAGCTGGATCACTTACTTGATCATGGCAATATTCGGAAGAGATGTCTTTGATTTTTATCTTTATTTCATTGTTGCCATTTCAGTGCTGTATCGCGATGTACAGACAGTAAATACACCACGCTCAAATGGTTCTGAAATTTTAAATTGGGATAATTCAGTCATTTTAACGCAGACTGATGCCGTGTTAAAGCTAGAAGCAAAGATGAGAGCACTGGAAGAGAGGGTAGAACAACTAGAGGAACAGAGCCAACAAGGAAAAGATAAGAAGTGTGTTTGTGAAAATAAGAAAGAGAAAGTTGAATTACAGATGTTGGAAAAACAAATTCAACGTAAACCAGGTGTATTCAAGCGAGTAAGAAAGAGCAGTGTTGGTCTAAATGAAAGTCAGAATTTAAACGCCGAAATTAATGGTAATTCAAGATTCGTACATTAAATTGATTTTAATGAAATAAATTTTTAAATATACATGTGTATATATTTTTAAAAAAAAACGCTATCCTTTTGTATGTTTGAGGAAGGACAGGTTTGTGCGCATTTTCCAGCATCTCAAGTAGGGACAGAGTTGGTACAGGCTATTCTCAGACCATTGTGTTTGATAACATGATCACAAATACACGTGAGCATTTGCAAATTTAACAAATACGAGTTTATATAATAGCACCATAAAATATAATTTTTTGTGGTACATCAATGATTTATTTTTACACATAAGCTTACATAATATTTTCTATCTAAAGAAAACTATAAATCATAGGTTTTTTTTAAATTATTAATAAATGATTCTGGAAGCAAATATGGCTAATTATAATCTGTAAAATTTGCAATTTGTAACCTCATTCTGTAGTTTCTGAAAGAGTCATGAAATGTAACAATCGTAAATAAAATTATTTTTTAATATATTGAGTGTCCAAACACATAAAAGGGGTTTAAAATGAGATCAAAGGGGAGGGGATTGACTTATCCCTAAATACTGTAAGGTTTACCCCTGTTGATTTTTAGAATTAGATATGTTTTACGATGTGACCATTTACACGAGGCATTTGGACTGGAGGTCCTGTGTCGCAGTAGGTGCCGACACAAAAAAGATCCATCCTACTCAACGGCCCTCAGTGCCGAGTATTGGACAAAATTTGCAGCTCTCCACCGAAAAGTTGTGGCTCCATATGAGTGAAAATTTTCGAGAGGGACATTAAACATTAGCAGAAAACCTTTATGTTTTATGTTATCTATTTATTTGCCATTATCGCATGGAATCCTGGTAAATGGAATTCTGGGTAGGCTTCACACAAAAAGTTTGCTTGACGTATGTACCTGTAGACAGATTTCATTCTATTATACATTTTATAGATTATTATGCATTGAAATCAGCTACTACCTAAGTACGCATGGCATTGATAGAATCTGGACAAGGTCTTGTCTTTCTTCAGGGAATTGCAGCGAGAAAATGTGTATTGAGGCATTGAAAAACAATGACGTTTTTGGACGTCATGAAACTGAAACGGTGACAGTGCTGACTGATCATATGTAAAGAGCGGTGCATTTAATGATTATTTGGCAAATTAACGACGTATAAATATTTCTTTAACAATTATTTAATTTTTAATTTGTTATTTAATGTTTTCTATAAATTTTAGCAAGCACCGGCTACATATTATTAATTTTATCGCACGAATTTTTGAAAACCTTTTGTATATTATACCTTTAAATTGTTTTTCTCTTAGTAAAAAAAATAAGATAATTTCAATTACAAATGTATAACAGCATAAGAAAAAGTCCCATTTGCAAGTCAGTTGTGCGTATGAATACAAGAGTTACTAAGTTATTATTACAGCAACGAATGTTAAGGTATCAAATGCAAATTTGTTATTACGTTAAAGTTATCACTATCAGATTCTTTATTTTTTCGATTGCAGTCACTCTAGGGGTTCAAAGCTGTAAATATAAACTTGTATTAAGTGATTAATCACTTTGCAAAAGCTGTTGCAGATATCTAGATGTCGATTAGAAGGCTACATCTTCAGAATAGAAGTTCATCTAAATCTTAAAAATAAAATAAATGATAGTACATTATCCTTCAGTTAAATTGATAAAGATGCACATATACTCACGTGAATCATTTTCTTTAGACAACGCTTACAATGGACACACGGGTATCTTCACATCTCCTTCCACCGGCGTCTTTGCCTTCTCGTGGACATTGAACACTGCAGGAACAGGGCACTTCGAATTAATGCATAACTCGGAGATCAAAACTACCACAACTTCTGAATCTGGTGGACCTCCTCATGTAGAGAGAGCGAGTGTCTCCGCGACAATAGTTTTAGAACTACGTAAAAATGACGTTGTTTTCGTTCGAACGCATCATGCGCGGGGTCAAGGGATATTTATTGTCAGCAATTCCCTAATGCAATCAAGTTTTTCTGGTTGGCAAATTTATTAGGACAGACATTTTCTTTCATAAATTCGAACGTGAGAAAAATATCCAGCAAAAGTATAATGCTGTATTTTACTTCAACTATAAAAAAAATAATAATCTTTGTCAGTGTTTAAATTGAAAGACGGAGGAGTGAAACACATGGAATCAACGAACAGCATTCAAGCTTAAAAAAAATTTCCATAAAACAATACAAAATAGGAGCAGGGCAAACACGGACCTCCGAAACAACAGAGGTGGGATAAGGTGCCATGGAGGAGTGAGAATCCCCTGCCGATGGGTCACATCCACCGTGTTCTCCTTGTCATGATTGGGAAATAACGGGAAAATCTCTCGTTCATCAGTGTGTAAATAATGGACTAACAATTAGTACTGAAAAACGTCAGTCAGCATTTGATTCAATGATAAATTGTATTTGCTGACAAGATCATTATCACCATAGAACTTACGAAATTATTACTGTAAATGAGACTGCTTATATTCGTGTTTCATCAATGTGTTTGTCAATAACCTACCTTGTTTTAGAAATTGTTTACATACGTAGAACATACTCTTGCGTATCGAATCAACTGAGAGATAAACTCCTCATGCTGGTGATGCTGCATATGTACTGGAAGTTGACGATTGAAAATTTAAAATCATCACTTCTATCATATACAGAGTTTGGCTGTTAGATTACCGTTAACGTCTTTTTCAAGTAAATTATTCACATATAAAACAGATTTGTCAGACTCTATGGTATATTTTATCTCAAGCTCACAGGGATATATCTTGTCAACATATGAATGGAAATAACCATTGTTGATTGACAATACGTCGTCGATATATCTAAATGTCGATTTGAAGGCCACATAAAGTGTTTTCTTCTTTTCACGCATATGTTGACAAATTCTGCTTCATATGAATATAAAATAGGTCTGCTATTCTCGGGGCGCAATGGGTTCCCATGCATGGGAATTTCAATAGATTGCTAGAAGACCTGGTCTCCAAAAACCACATAGAAATTGTCAATTAGAAACTCAAGCATCCTTTTGATGTCAACTTCTGAGTACTTGTGTGTACAATCAGAATGTTTTAACAAAATAATTTTGCAAATGACTAATGACAAGGTTAATAAATTTTCGAGTTCTATTTTTATTGAAAAAGCAGCTCTCGATGATATCAATAGCCTGTACTTTAATTTATCGTGGGGAATGGCTGTGTATAAAGTTGAAAAGTCGGAAGTTTCTGTGATGCTGATTTTAGAAAAAATCGTGTGATTTCAAATTGTCCAAAAGTTCCTTGGAATTTTTAAGTATCCACATCTGATTTACACCACTTAATGCATATATTGTTGTACAGTACTCTTGAAGTTTCTCCTTCACTACTGTTAATATCTTATGAGGAATAAAGAAAGAGGTTATCAGAACATTTACTGGTACCAGCTACGTACGTATCTTTGTAAGCTTTTCTTTGGAGTTTTTGAATTCAGTATATATACATGTATATGGTAATTCAAATTCATTTTGATTGTTGGGGATGGAAAAAAAAATATTTTAATTTGACAAACGTTATTGAAAATTTTCTCCTTAGAAAGGGAGCCGTAGTTAAGTCAAAATTACCACTTGCAGAATTAAATTCTAGTATCTAATAGAGGGATCTCCTGATTTATGATTACGGGTAAAAGATCCAACGTGTAGTGTGCCTTTTATCCTAAATCCTTTATAGTTTTATACTGGATTTAATTTCCTTGTTAATTATATAAACAAAGTAAAAAAAAAAATATCCATATTATGCATTTACAGTCAACGTACAATTATCAATTTGTTGAAAATTTTTATATAGGAGTTTATTGGAAAAGTATTTAGAAATCTTCTTGAAAACGACAAAGGCTGATTAGTCATATAAATATCAATATGAATAAAGTACATGTATGTATAGTGTTGAAACACATTTTTTTCAAACCATGACCCCCTGGGTAAGGAGTGCCAAAGTAGGCAGTTAAATTTTACACCGTAACATTTTAAGGAAATAAAGAAACATAATACCATATTGACTCGCATTATAGTTGTTGCCTATGGGCCTCTAGTTTCTTTTCAGTATAAAGTTTCATATCGTCGCAAACCACGGCCAAAATGTACGATCCTCTCCCATTGTAGGAGATAATTTCCTTTTTAAGAAAAATCTGATCGCTTGGGTTGCTCAAAACACTGGTTAAAATTTATCATTGAATAAGTTAGCCAATAGTTAAATTCTTTATCCACTGGACAACTAGCCACTGATTACATATCAGCTCGTCTAACGTCTTGGCGCCTGATGACTTATTGATCTTTTAGAGAGGTTTGAGACTACATCAAGTGATAAAATAAAGTAACTATATGTTTTATAAAACGCTCAATTACAGAAAGTCACACAATTTACGAACATTAAGGTTAAAAGTTGAGTAATCCATATTTTGTCTGGAAATAATCGATTTTCGGAATTACTCGCACTTCCATTATAAATTTCAAAAGTCCCATTTACGCCGTTAGATCCGCCATGTTTTTGAGGAAGCTCGTCTCCGACATAAACGACAATTGTCCCTATAAAAAGATAAAATGACAACAGTCTCTCGTTCCAAGAATGGGAATGCAAAAATATTGAATTAATCAAATATAATTATTTATCAAAATGAAAAAATGAAAAGAAATCAAATCATGCATGCATGTATCATACAATGCATTACACTAAAGATTCTTGTTATGCCCATAAATCTACACGAGAGAGCTATAGGTTCACTTTATTCATGAAATGGCCCTGTCCTTATACATGTATCAATTGATAAACTATCACCCTCTTTCCCATTTCATATATATATCAAAATAAAGTAGAGACTTAGTGCTTTCATTTACTATATGTATAATAAAATTTCTTTTTGAGAATCAAAGTATTGGAAAACAGGCTTTGGGATAATGCAAATTGTTCTTGAATTTTGCAGAGAACATGCTTATTTGACTACCTTCAGCAAAGAATCTAAAAATTTGAAACATGTTTTTTTAATCTTCAGAAATAGATCTTTCATTATGGATCAGAGGTTGTGCTCTATATGAAATTTTGAAACGAATTTACAGGATATATGTATTTGGAAAATGACGCCTAGCTTTTATGACGTCCTAATGCATTGAATAAAGGGAAACTTACGTTCTATTCAATAGATATATGGTCACCAAAAGTCCAAGTGATAATTACTGCATTTTCAACCTAAAGTGAGCAGCTTTGATTTTTTTAAAAAATTCCCAAGGCCAAAAAGGACCTATAAAGTGCCTCTTGCTCTTTTTCGTTTTAATTTCAAAGGACAAACCATGCATTTACTTATACCCAATAATTAAATATGAAGTAGTGTATTACCTGGTTTTATCATCCGACCTTTTCCTTCCACATAAAGTTCCATCTGATGAGGATATATTGTAAATTGTTCTGTAATGGAAGTCCCACTCTTCACTCTGTACCTCTGAAATCCCACCAGCTTTTGGATAGGAGTGTCGGCCGTCGCATTTTGCCATGAAATGTAGCATTCAGCAGTCTGAAAGTTAGGACAGATACATGTGATAGTTCATTATAAAAGATTGAGGGAATAAAAATGGAAATGTATCATAGTGAGATTTGTATTGCTTCGTATTTTTACTTGTATTATCATTTACATATTATTTATAATATTCTGGTGAGCTTGAGATAAAAGATATCACAGAGACTGGCATATATGTTTATATTTGAATAATTTACTTGAGAAAGACGTTAATTAATGATAATCTAAAAACCAAGCTCTATGATAAACGTGATGACTTTTCTTTACAATCGTCAACTTCTCTTACTTATGCAGCAATATACCTCTCTCATCTGCATATGGAATTTATATTCAGTTGATTCGATACGCAAGAGCATGCTCTGCGTATGTTCAATTTCTAAAAAGAGGTAAATTATTGACAAATAAGTTGATGAAACAAGCTTAACAATTACAGCAGTCTCGATTAAAGTCATCATTTCGTAAGTTCTATGGTCGATACAGTTACCTTGTCAGCAAATACAATTTATCAATGGGTCAAACGGTGACTGACCTATTACATACTGTAAGTGTCAGTCCATCAGTGTACACTGTATTGTCCACGGGTTTTTTCTGTTTATGTCCTGATCATGACATAGAGCACACGGCGGGAGTGATCGGTCAGCAGGGGATACTCACTCCTCCATGGCACCTGATCCCACCTCTTTTTTGAGGTCCTTGTTTGCTGTGCTCCTATTTTGTACTGTTTTATGGACTTTGATCTTGAATACCACATGTCTGTTATCTCCATATGTTTCATTGGTATGAATTTTAATTAATAACAGTTTTTGCAAAAAACTTTGACATCATAGGAGGATGGAAATACCTTAACCATGTTAACAGAGGATCATCCTCTTTGAAATCCGTAATCAGGACGTTCGACGGACATAGCCTGTGTACTTCTTAGAGTTGCTGAACCCCGTGTATTAGATAAGCTAAATGTTGCACACTTCTAATTAAAACATTTGTGCATTTTATACCTAAAATAATATGCTGTATGAATAATCAAAGTTATCGTGGATTACTTATACTGTATTATCTATATAGGTACACGTCGATCTTTTAAGAGGAGCTAGGTCAATACTATATAATCAGTTTTGTCAGTAAATTAAGGCCTCTCACCTCGTCTCCATCTCGCTGCCCAATATTAGTGATTGTAAAATTCACTTTGACATTCGCCAGTTTTCCGTTTTGTACTCGATCTGGAGTGATGAGCAGTCTGCTGAACTTAAATGATGTCAAACCAGAACTAGTTCTTCTCCAGTCCGATTTGAGGGAAACTACTGATTCGTCGTCGTTAAATGGAATGGATTCAGCCAAAGAAACCGCATCATATACTTGTAGTAAAATTAAAATACGTACGACTGCGCGAGAAACAAACATGTCCTTTTTTATTTAGTGTACCTATATAATTTTTCACACCAACTTATATAATACAAGTAAATACTATATGAACAGCTGATATGCAATGTAAACATTCGATATCAACTGGGTTTTTTTTCTTTTTTTTTTTTTTAGTTTGTCTCGTTTTGTCAACAATCGCAACTTGTGATGAAATTATTTACATGCAATAGGCACTGACGGATTTAGAGAGGGCCCTGCCCCCCTTTTGTGTCCAAGATATACATAATATTTAATGAATCATTTTTTTTGGTGTGGCTTTGGGCCCCTACCCCGACCCCAAACTGCCCCCCTTTCAAGACTATCTCTTAAAGTTCGATGTGTACCTCCATAAATAATATTCACGACACTCCTAATAGGTAATTGCTAATTATTCATACACCATTATTTTAGGTATAACATGCACAAATGTTTTAATTAGAGGTGTGCAGCATATTTAGCTTATCTAATACACGGGGTTCAGCAACTCTACGAAGTACATAGGCTTTGTTCGTTGACCGTCCTGATTAAGGACTTCAAGGAGCATAGGATCCTCTTTAAGAAATTTCAATCCTCCTACGATGTTGTAGGCTTTTGCAAAAAAATGTTATTTTAATAATTAATGTAAATTCATACAAATGAAACATGGAGATTACGAACAGTATTCCAGATCAAAAGTCAATAAAACACTGAATAAAAAACAGGAGCAGAGCAAACACGGACCTCCAGAACATAAGAGTTGGGATCAGGCGCCATGGAGGAGTGAGCATCCCCTGTCGACCGGTCACTCCCGCCGTGTGCTCTGTGTCATGATCGGGAAAAAACGGAAAATCCGTCGTCAATTCAGTGTATAAATAATGGACTATTAATTAGTATAAATAAGTCAGTCAGCATTTGACTTAATGATAAATTGTATTTGCTGACAAGGTTATTGTATCGACCATAGAACTTAAATGATGAGTTTAAACGAGACTGCTAATATTCTTGTTTCATCAACTTGTTTGTCAATAATTAGAAATTGTTCATACGCATAGCTACAGCAAGCTCTTGCGTATCGAATCAACTGAGATATATAAACTCCGTATGCAGGGTATGAATTTAAGGTACTAGTACATGTATATTGCTGCATACGTAAGAGGAGTTGACGATTGTAAAGCTAAAGTCATTACGTTTATCATAGAGCTTGATTGTTTAAATACCACTGATTAACGTCTTAATTTTTCAAGTAGATATGAAACAAATGTATCAGACAGTGCGGTATCTTTCACAGGCACTTGGGGGCTGGACCTCCATTCCCCCTTTTCATTCATTTTTCTTTTTAAATCTGGGGTCGATTAACCTTTTTTTTTTTGATTTTGGTAGTCTGATATTTATACACTACATGTACATGTACTTGGTTTCGATATTGTAAACCTTTTTGTTTGAACTATAAGGCGTTTTTTTTTATTTGTCGTTTTCAACGGATACATATAAAGAGAGTTGAAAATTATTTAATGTATGAATCTATGAATAAATTGAATTTATTCAATTTAGGTTAATTAATAATGACAAGTACCTATTTTTCACATTTAAATCAAAACCTGAGAAAAACTGAGTACTGTCTGCTTAATGTGGATGTAACTGAAAAAAATCTTATATTTGTGATCTTCTTAGACTCTTTTCTTTCATTATAGGGAAGGGGGTTATCCACACCTCAGCCCGTATTCGACACAGCTGCTTGGGGACGGACGAACCCACCCCCCAATCTCCCATGCAGAGTTGTCGTTCGTAGGTGAATGTATGAGCCGATGGTAGAGAGTGCCCACCCCCGTGTTCCGTGTCCCAAGGGTTCTTTGTCGGACCTTTTTTTTAATAAAATTTTTCTGTGACATATTCACAAAATATTACAACTAAATATAAAAAATGAAGCTAAAACTAGCCTTTTATAAAAATTCCTACTCCCTGATGCTAAAACAGACCCCGTTCGGATAAGATGGGGGGGGGTGTATTCGAAAAATATAAGAACAAATTGATTTCATATTTGAAGAGAAAGTGAAAGTAATTTCCGGTAAACAAACACACGTGTGTCACATTGACAATCGCTACATATAGTAATATTATAATGTCAACGAAGAGGAAATCAACTAAACTGGAAGCTGATGTGAAGCCAAAGAAAAGTAAAAACAAAAGTAAATGCCACATTGACGTCAACAAAATATTCGATGACGAACAAGCTTTACAAAGAATCAGAAACTTCGTAGATTTGCAAGACAGTACGAAAAACGATGAAAATAATTGTAAGTACAACTCGGTGGAATAAGGCGAGGTTACATGTAATTTGACCATAATGAGAGTTTTGTTATGTTGCTTTAAATTCCAAGTTTATATTGTCTTTGAATGCATCAAAATATCAGCGATTATCATGCAGTGAAAGTGATCAGATTTCATTAATCTACAGTATGTACCTGTGTACTTGTACATCATGTTCAACTTTTCAAGGCATGTAAAATATAGTATCTACAAAAAAATGATAAAAGTATGTGTTGATATTTATGTTTCATGATGATGAATCCTTTTTGTAGATGACAATGGCGATGTGCAGGCATTTAAGAGACCATTCTTTCATTGTGTGCTGTCCAACCTTGTACTGAGTGAAAACTTCATAGAGAGCCTGATGGATGAAGTTTTAGACCTCAACTTTGTAGAGAAAAATAATGACCTATATAAGTTTCATCAGGTATGGCATCCACACAATACCAGGGGTCCTGGGTCAATATGTTGCCGTTGGACCCCTGGCAGTTTTCATTTGATATTTGAGGGCTTACTTCTTTGATACATTTGAATGTACAATGTATATTGGAATCATTTTTTCTTGGAACAAATGTATGAAATACCTGAAAGCACTAAAACTTATTTTTAAAATTAGATTTTGTTTGACATTATTTTGGTTTTTTTAAATCTTTATTAGAAATAATGTTTGTTTGACACAAATTTCTGTCATTAATATTTCAGAGTACAGAAGATTTGAAAACTACAAAGTTGCCATATTTAAGTGCATTGAGGTCTGTATTAAATTCCACTATGTACATGTATGTGTTCTGGAACAATTTTGTTTAGTGAAATATACCTAGAAATATTTAAATACATGGTTTTCTTATGGACTTAAATAGGGAAGTAATATATAACACTGTCCGTGAGTGGGTAACAAAGGTCACTGGAATAGAACTGACCGCTCAGGTAGACATGTCCTGTGCAATGTACAGGTATACAGGTAATACTACTCACTTCATTTGTTGATTTCTGTTCATTATGAATTTGATATTGCATTTTTTTTCAAGCACCTTTTATATAATATAAAAATGATTTTACATTTGATAGAAATCATAATCTTTTTAAACAGAGGATGATTAGTTTATAGAGATGAAAAGTTTAAAACAATGAATAAAATTTTAGATGTCTGCTACTATTCAAGAGAAACTCTCTTATTGGATTTTTCTTACAGATGTGTTGTCCTGTCATGATGATGAGTTAGATGACAGATGCATTGCTTTTATATACTATCTAGTGCCACCATCTTGGAAAGAGGAGGATGGGGGTCGTCTTCAAATGTTTTCTCTGGATGGTATTCATCTTAAATAATATTCTTTTCTTAAATATGTTCATTTGAAAAGATATCACAAAATTTAATACTAAATCAATGAGAGTGAATATTTCAGGACATTCTAATTGCAGAAAATGGAGAGCCTGAAGAAATAGTAAAAAACTTAATTCCTGTCCAAAATAGCTTTGTTTTCTTTGAAGTGACTCCTGCATCTTTTCATCAGGTAAGAATTGATGATGTCTTACAATGCATGTAAATTTTTGACACAAATGAAAAGAGCGGTGTGTTTTTTATTTTTCTCTCTTGTAATGTAAGGTGGAGGAGGTTTTAACAGAAGACAAGACCAGACTCTCAATCAGTGGATGGTTCCATGGACCACAAGTGGATAGACCCCCTCCATATATTGAGACCCTCCCTGCCCCCTGTCTACCTATTTCAATAGAGGTATTGTGTGTAAAGTGTGCTCTGGCTTATCAGCAACTGATTAAATCAGGGATGTCATTTTAGACCTTATCTGCTAATTCTGTTGTAATAAATTAGTGGTGAGATATGGAAAATGCTTGAAGGAAAACTCATTTCACTGCTAAATTATTTCTTCATTGTGTATTCAAACAATATTTGTTTGTAGGAAGATGAATTTTACTCCTGGATAAACCCACAGTATTTGGACACTGTCACACAGGCTTCAATCAAAGAGACATTTGTGGAGGAGTCACAGATAGAACTCAGTAACTTCTTACAGGTAACCAATTATTGACAAGCTCTTCAGCAGATAACCAATCATTGACAAGAAATTTTTATCTTCAACCAATCATTGACAAGAACCCCTCACAGTTAACCAATCACTGACAAACTGTTTGATAAGCAAACATCTCAAGGGATTAATCTTTCAAAAGTGATAATTGAAAAGAATATCTGACTTACAGGAGAATAAGTATGAAGAGCTGGTAGCATTGCTTACAAGTATTGACAAAAGTAAATGGACTATCAAAGGCCCTCCTAACAAAAGGTTAGTTATGTTCTATTTCACTAGTATAACAATCATAAATTTATATACAGAAATCAACAAACTAGTTGAACAATCATAAATTGTATAAAATAATTAAAATATTTTAAAAATTTTTTTTTTTTAAACATTTTTTAAAATTAAAGAATGAATTTTGTTTTATATGTGAAGGAGATACCTGGCTGTTGATCCAAATGAGGTGCCTGATCATGTGACCAAGTGTTTGAATTTCCTCCAATCAGATGCATTGTTTCTATTATTGTCCTCACTGACTGGTCTTAAACTTCATGAGCTAGCTGAAGTGTCAGATTCAGAAGAAGACGAAGAAGAGAATCAGAAGCAAAGAGGTGGGTCTTTGATTTTTAGGCAGATCTTATTTACACTTTAATATATGTATTTATTGTAGTAGAAATTTAATTTTTCTTCTATATTTAAAGAGGCAGATATTTAATGTCAACTTGTCAATTTAAAACAAATTTGGACACGTTTTTAGTATTATAAAGATATGGAATTGATCTGGATAAAAAGTTATTTTTTGTTCTCAGGAGATACTCCACGTTGTCACTGTGAGGTTAGGAAATGGCAGCATGGAAACTACACCCTGGTTCATGACACAGACACTGAAACCAAGCTGTGTGCTCTGGATGCTGTTTTATATATTGGCTGTGAAGGTAACGACCCCCTTCCCACTAAAACAGTCTATTCCAATGAGCTGTTCATGATAACTGGGATACTTCTCTTTTGCAGAACAAGTGAATATATTTTCAAAACGTTTTTAATTAATTTTCATTAAATATAACAGTTTATTGCTTTTTTGTCATACCGGTATTTAACTAAAATATAAGAGCAAATTTGCAGTTCATTGTGAACCAGTTTGTCAATTTCTTCAATGTAGAAGTCAGGGTAGCTTATTTAGGGCCAAACACTTTGTTTAATTCATAGTAACACGTGTTAGTGTGTATTGAAATTTCAACATAGATATTTTATGAACTTTAAAGCATGATTAATGGACTTTGCGTCCATGTTATTCACATTTGTAATTTGAAAGTGTTGGTATATGAATTCATAATCTGTGGATTAATTATCATGTAATGCTTCATAAGCAATATGTTAAGTGTCGAACCATCAGACAGTTCTTGTAAACTACACATACAGTACAATGTATTCCAAATGGATTGCATGACCTGCATTAAGCTTTCACTGTGCCTAAGTAGGAGGATAATGCTGTGAAGTATATCCAAATTCTAACCTTGTTACTAGTACTTTGAACTCCCTCTGCAAAAAAAACAAACACTTCACATGATATGTATAAAGAATGATTTTAAAATATTTCAGTTTGAAGTAACTTTCATTTCCAGTTAAATTTTAATCAGTAAAATTAAATTGACTTGGATTTAATTTTATGGTAAATAGTTATCTAACTTTAATAGATATTGTTCAAATGAATGAAAAACCTTAATTTTATTTAGCTTACAATTCATGTGAAAAAAAAACATAAAAATGAAGTAATTTGTAGATTGGCAGTCAGATTAACAACTTATTTAAGAGAAGATGAGTGTGTAGGGAAATTAATTTTATTTCAGATATAGAGACACCAGAGACAGTGGTATATTTTTTTTAAATGTACATGTACCAGTACTCTCCATAAATTGCTGCTTTAATACTGTAGATAAAAAGGTTAGTTTCAGATGTTTAAGAGTTATCTTTCTTTTTCAAAGGATTAACAGATATTTCTCTGAATTACATAAAAAGAATGAATTTAAAATACTTCTGTATAAAATAACCGTCATTTCTAATTAAATTTCAATCAGTGAAATTAAATTTGACTTTAAATTATGATAAATAGTTATCAAATTTAATAGACTCATTGTTTTAAAAAATGAGAAATGTATCTGTATAAATTTATTACTACTTCTTATTTAAAAAGAAAAAAAAACTCAGTGAAACGTAAATGTGGCATGCAGTGCAGATTAACAATGTCTGTTTCTTTACAGTTGTTGTCAGTCTGCCCCAGCCCAAACAGTTTAGCTCTGGTGTATAGAGACACAGAGACACTTAAATTTGTGAAACACATCAATGCCAGGGTCAAAGATACGCAACATCAAGGTTTTATGGACATTGCATGTGTGTATTACGAATAAATTTTATCAGTTTATTACCAATTCATTGTTATTACTTTATATATATTGGGTAGAGCAGATTTTTTTTTCGTTGTTTGATACTGTCAGCATTCAGTAAAACAAGTAAATTGAAGGTTATAGATATATGTACCAACTACACATACATGTAAATAGCTGATATATGGATTTCTCTTGATGAATACTTAAAGAATGTCATGAATTCCTTTTTTTCTAAACGGGGATTGATATACATGTAGAATATCATAAAGGGTATTTAATTTTCATAAGAAAGGGACAAATATTATATGTGGTATTTTTAATAATAAACAAACAAACAATATATATGCATAACATTAATCTCTGTACTAGAATTTAAATTTAAATTTTAGTAGAAATGAGCAATGGACAAACTGAACACATTTGGCTGGAATAATTACAATTCTTCTTTAGATATTTTAGGCTGCTTTTTCGTTGACTCTTTGTAAAACTTTTGCATCCTTTTCAAGTCTTTCATTTTCTGATCCGTGGTCTTAACCCAGAAATTGGCTATCCACTTGACTCCCTTTTTCACGGGACATCCCCCATGGAACGTGAATTCATCAAGTGGACCTAACCATCCTGTGTCCTTGTCCACAAAGTGATTGTACCAAATGATGGCCTTACCCTTAGCAGGGGCCACCTTCAGGGGGGAATCCTCACATTTCCTATATAGATCTATTACTTCTTTCTCCAACATAGTCTTATAGAAAAAAAAAAACATTGGTGATTCTGTTGTCTTTCTATTGAAAAGTTATAGAATCTCCAGAAAATCTTAATTCATTTAAAAGGTTGCATTAGATTAATATACAGTTAAACAAACTAGGTATTACGGTAAAACATGTGTTTATTAGAAGATATACCTTATAATCAAGCGTTTCATTATTGGCCACTGGAAACGCTGTCTCTCCTCCCCCTTCTACGTCATTCAGGTAAAAGAGAATGGTCATGTACCTGAGTCAAAATTTAAATTTTAAAACATCATTTATCACAGATAGGTATTACTATTTTACTAACTGAACTATCAGTTTAATTTTTTGAATTATTTATACTGTATCAAAATCTTAATAGGCACCGCATACCTACATATCCGACACTGTTTTGTCCGTTCACGCGTACAACACGGGACTTTTGTTTCTACACGTGATGAGTCCCAGTGAGCATTGTAATGACCTTTGATATCATACGATACAACCTGCAAAAACGACAAATCTGATATTGCTACCAATAACCTTAGGTCAAATTAAATATCTGATACCCTGGTATTACTTTTACTCCAGAAAAAAACACTCTACAGACCTGAAAATCGCTGAGTTTGATCAGTTCTATTGGAAGCCCCACTACTGCTGCAACTCTGAAAGAAAAGTGTTGCAATGATCTATCAAGTTCAGCTTAAGGTATTCAAATACATAAAAAAGCAACTAAAACAACATGGTTATTAATGAAATAAAGCATTTAGAGAGAGAGAGAGAGAGAGAATGCGACACCCTTCTTCTCCCATCCTAGTCCGAAATATCTGACGTTTTCCTGGCTTTTTTACGATTTTGATATATGTTATGTGCCAGGAAAACTTCAGAACTGGCGCCATTACGAAAACTGGAAATTCCACCGTTCTCAACTGGAGTTGATTTTCGATACTTGCGAACCGAACTGGATGCCGAAATCAGAATATATCAATAGCTAAATGCTTCCAGTACTCACCAAAATCGATGAAAAGGAAATACCACTTCACATTTCGTTACTTGACTTCCAACATTTTAAAATGCACAAAATGAAAATAAATCTCGACAGTCTGATAAAATGTTTTCATCGGATTGTATATTTTATAAATGAACCATAAACATGTTGTTTGATAAGTACTAAAGGTATTGTACTCTTGATATTTTGTAGGCTTGGTATTTAATTCGGTTTGCAAGAATCTAAAATCAACCAGAGAATACCGCCTCCAGTTGGAGGCGGCGAATTCCCAGTTTCAGAAATGGCGCCGGTTCTGACGATTTCCTGGCAGTAAAATATCAAAAACATAAAAAAGCCAGGAAAACGTAAGTTAAGTATTTCAGACTACTCCCATCCGCGATGTGACCTTCCATTAACGATAGTTATAGCACGCCAAATTCACAAAAATGAGCTTAACATAGTTTCACAGTCGATAAACTAGGTTTAATATCGGTTGTAAACTATAGTTTACGGACTGTAAACAATAGTTAACAAAGTTAATCTATATTTTACATCTGTGAACCATAGTTAACGCGATAATTTATGTTTCAGAACCGTTAACTATACTCAACACTGAAAACAATCATTTACGACTGCAAAACATAGATTATCTAATAAATACAGTTTCACGATTTGTAAACTATGGTTTACAACTCTTAACTATAGGTAACGATCTGATAAACATAGTTTTACGATTAGTGAAACTATGATTAACAACTCTTAACGATTGTAAATTAAGTTTACAGACGTGAATCTATGCTTATCATCAATCTGTTGTTAACCTTTTATTACAGACAGATAAACTTAGATTAGCATTCGTAAACTAAGTTAACAACCGTTATAAATATAGTTTTAAAGATGAAAACTATAGCTAACGAATTGTTAACAACAGTTCAAGGTTTGTAAACTATAGTTTACAGTCGATAATAATAGTTTATCTACTGTGAAACTAGCGGTATGTTTAGCTCATTTTTGTGAATTTGGCATGCCATAGATACTCTTCTATGGATACTTACCGTCTCTGTACCGTGGCAAACACCTTGTCTTTTGACTTGTCTGGGTACAACCAAACTTGTTTACTCATCCGGGAATGTTTCTCTGGAGAAGTCTTCAGGATTTTCTCGATTTCTTTTCGTAACATCGTGGGAGAGAAGCCTTTCAGCTCGTCGTCCGTGATCATTTCTATTAGGTAGGTAAAGTTTTACTAAAATATTTTAGTAGACAATGCATGCATTTCCATGCATATGTATGTACTTACTTTTATATTTATTGATATAGATCTCTTAAAGTTGTAAGCCAAACATAATATTGTGTAACTTTGCTTACCATCGCCATTCTTATCCAGCCCCGTCTCTTTGTACCTGTTAATTAACACCAAATAGACAAAGATAAGAGCACAATTATACATAAACGACATAGTTTTGATCACCTTAATTAACCAGATTTATCGCCTGTCTGTCTGTCTGTTGCCTGGTTTTATTTGTTAAAAAATTCAAGAATCTTCACATAACCCAAAGCTTACAGACCAATTTTAACCAAACGTTTCAAAGAACCAAAAGGTATTATTCAAGTTAGTTGTATGAAATACATCATAGCTCAAAAAGTATTAAAAATTTTAATGGTAGGCATCTTTGAATTTTTGTTCTTGGGGCTGGTCCTTTTCAGCAGCTAGGATTTATCCAGATGCTGTAGTTTTGATAGTAGAAGAATGTCAAAATGGCGAATTAAATCAAATAATAAAACAAATCAAGAGACAGTGTTTAAAGTTAGTAAATATAATACAAACATTTTCACTATATCTTCTTCATCCAAATAAACATCAAAGCTGCCTTGGATGGTAAGCTTCATCTGTAATTAAAGGAAAGTATTCTACATAAATTGACAAGTATGATTCCCTCTCTCCTCAAACTTTATTACTGCATCTCCAAACTAAGCCCATTTGAAACAAAGAGGGGCGAATCTTTACAGTTATTCGAGATATCTGAAATGTTATTGGACTGTTTCAGACACAGGATTGTTCGACAATAACCCATCTATTGCATACGTACCTCGCGCACTGACAGTTTCCGGTTCCCGTCAATGTCCCTGAGCACGAAGCGCTGACTTTCCTGGTTGAGCACAGTCTCGCTTTCTTGGAGACCTTCCTCTGTAGCCATCTTGACAAAGTAGTCACATTCTTCAGATGATAAAAAATTGTCTGCCTCTGTAAATAAAATATTATAACTTTTAGAAGATGTAAATTACCTTATATTTGTTTGACGGTAAAACATTGAAAATAGAAAGAACTAGTATCGGATTATCTGAAAAAAATCCTACCAAGAACAAGTGGCTTGATGTTGAGCGTTGTCAATGTAACGCTTCCCTGACTGTCATTGGTGTTGATCTTTTGAGCATGCCCAACCTACAATGTAAAGATCAAAATTAATCTACAAAAGTCATATGATAATTTGATAATACCCGCTCCACATTAACCCTAGGTTTTGTGGATCGGTTTGGATCAGAAACCTTTGACTTGGGAAGAATTCTTAGAGAAACATTTCTGCGAAGAAGAACGTGTAATGTTTATAACTTCAAACAAAGAATTAAAAGAAATCAGCATTGCAAAACTGCGATAAGTTGAGTTTTTAAGATCGATCTAGACGACTGGTGTCATAATTTCATAATTATTATGGTTTCTGTGGACGATTACGCCAGGCGATATGCCAAAAATGAAAAAGAAATCCTTGACACTTTTTCAGAATGAATTAAATGTATCAGATGCACATGTATGTTAAAATCTCGCATGCTTTAAAAAAAATTATTTGGAACTCGTAAATTTACTTACCTTGCCATTGGTCATTTGCAAAATTATTTTGATAAAAAAATATAATTGTACACACAAGCATTAGTACTTTGAAGTAGATATCAAAAGATGCTTGAGTTTCTGATTGACAGTATCTATGTTGTTATTCCTACAATCTATTTAGTGGAATTCCCATGAGTACCAATTGCGCCCGTTATTAGCATCTACCTTTATTGTATTTATATGCAGCAGAATTTGTTCAAAATCTTATACTCGAACAAAAGAAAAAAATTGCTATGTATATATATATCAAAGACGTATTGTCAATTAACGATGGTTATTTCCATTATGTCGACACGATTAGCCCGGTGAGATTAAAATAAAAGATACCATAGAATTTGGCACATCAGGGGCCCGTTTTACAAAAGAACTTACGACTGAGACCAAAAACTTTAGATGATTGTAACATTCTGCAAAATTAATTATTCTGTTTAAAATTGCTAGTGTAAAAATATCTCACTATATAATAGTTCTTCAGATAACTTTCTAAATAACAATATATTGAAAATGATTTGAATCTTTCAAAAAGGAATGTATATATATTTTTGAAAGATTCAAATCATTTTCAATATATTGATATTTAGAAAGTCTTTGATATATATACATAGCAATTTTTTTTATTTTGTTCGAGTATAAGATTTTGAACAAAATCTGCATATATATACATTCCTTTTTGAAAGAATCAAACCATATATATACATTCCTTTTTGAGATATTCAAATCATTTTCAATATATTGTTATTTAGAAAGTTATTTGAAGAACTAAATTTGGTCTTAAGTCGTTAGTTCTTTTGTAAAACGGGCTCCTGTTTCTTATTTGGTCATTTTACTACAAAAAAATAAATAGTTATGAAACAACCAAACTTTTAATATGATAAAACGCGATGACTAAAAAATTTTCAATCGTCGAAGTTCCTGCCTTGTGCAGCAATATACCTTCATCACTTGCATACGGGGTTTATATAACCTCAGTTGATTCGATACGCAAGAGCATGCTATACGTGTGAACAATTTCCAAAACGAGGTAAATTATTGACAAACAAGTTGATGAAACAAGAATATCAGCAGTCTCATTTAAAGTCACTCATTTCGGAAGTTCTATGGTCATATAAAGACCTTGTCAGCAAAAACGATCTATCAGATAAGTCAAATTTAAAATGTTGTTTGGACTTGACAAAATTATTTAATGTAAAGATAAAAGTGAAGATTTTTTTACAAAAAAAAAAAAAAAAAAAAATGAAATAAAAAACAAATAAATAGATTAGTCAGTTTATCAATTTCAAAATTTTTATTCTTTACTTCAGTATGTGCAGAGCAAATCGAAATGAATGACCAAGTAAAAAATGTGTTGAAAATACTATTCGTCGAATTATATTGCCAGGAGCTGATACAGTCCTAGCTGTCACATCTGAATTTAAATTTTATGTATAATATCTATTGATTTTTCTTTGAATTTTTCATTATTTGCCCATTACATATAATTGGTTTGTTATAGTTCCTCAGACTTCCTTTCCTGCAAGTCCTCGGCTCAACGTTGAGACTGTTAAACTTTGCCGCGGGGAAAAGGGTCTTGTTACGAGAAAACAACTTATACATCCCAACTTCCTCCTTACATGAACCAAATTTATTTATATAGTACATGTTTATGCCATTATATTTTTCTGACCCCCTACTTTCCCTTTTTAATTGTTAAATTTGGTAATATGGGTTTTCGGTTAGGGAATATTGGAGTATGGTTAATAAGTACTTTAAGTCGTGATGTTTTATTGTCCAAGTATGTATTTGGAGTGTTAGGGGAATCACTTACCGAATCCTAATACTCAACATTATGATCATATCAGAACTTTATCTACTACACGTCAGTTAGAAAGTGTAATCAAACGTTAAAAACTGTGATTATGTGTCAGTACTTTGTTTATACTAGTACTTTAATTTCTAGTGAACAACTTTACATACACCAGTAGCACTTGATATGCGGTATATAAATAAGTGTTTACTATAGCATAAGAGGATTTTAAAACTATTTTTAAAGATATACAAGTGCGTTCATGTGTTTTATGCATTGTTAATACTGTATAGATGTTACGTGTATGAGAGTTTTAAAGAGTATTTGCATATTTTCTATAATGTGAATTAAATGAATGTTTATGCAAGATAAGTGGAATTATATACTAGCTTATATATATAACACTCATTCGGTATTACGTACCTCGTTCCCCGCTATCCTGGCGAGGCGTACATGATTCCCGTCCCCGCAGTGTACTCCCGTATTGTCTGTCACACACAGTTCTACTCCGGAGACTGGTGTAAAGGTCCACACTATCAATACCTGCACAACGAGCAAGCACCTGTCCCGCGTCCCCATACTACTATCGATAACACCAGATAAGCCTTAACATAGGACAGAGCATGCCGCTCCGTCAGCAGTACGGTGTTAAAAATCAATCGCGAGTAGAAATGTAAGCCTATTAGATTCTAAAAGTCGATATTAGTGGTTAATAAAGATTTCGTATTAAATATGGATATTCCGACCTGTTTTACTTTCTTCTGAAACAGAATTTATTTAAAAGCGTTTACATGTTCAGTAAACTGTTACAAGTTCTGTTCATCGACGAAATTTTATCAATAAACGATCGGTGTTTTTATCCATACTGTTTGTCAACTATAGGTATATTCCAGTGCTCAAAATAACGAACATCACAGAATCTGCGACTTCCGCTTCATGCATGAATGTCAGTTTTTCGAACCATGTATAGATTTATTGATTGTACATCGTGTGTTGTTTTACGAGAATTTTTCACTCATATAGAAACGTCACCATATGCCGGTCTCTAAGAAGAGCTTGAAATTTTGACCTTTACTCGGCACTCATTGAGCAGTGTGGGATCTTTATCGTGCCAATGTTTGTAGTGACACATGGCCTCAGAATTTCAGGTCTTATCCTAGAAACCCGAAACTTTCACTTAAAGTGAAGGAACACTTGCTACCCAATATTTTATCAAGTCAGTTGCGGCCGAGATTCGAAGTCACGACTATCCGATCGCGTAGCGAGCGTTCTACCGAATGAGCTACCGTGACTGTTGCCTTATATAGAAGGCGGGTGTGGCCGGTCGGCAGGGGTGCTCACTCATCCATGGCATCTGATCCAATCTCTGATGTTTTAGAGGTTTGCTCTGCTCCCAAATTTGTATTGTTTAATGCCTTTTTGAGCCTAAATAATGTTCGTTATCTCCATGTTTTTCATAACAACAAATCTCGCTGTCCTATGCTGTGCACCTCCTTGTCGATGCTCCAAGCTGTATATGGATTCCTGACAAGCGAGGCATACTAGTCAGTGGAGTATTAGCCTGCATGACAAGTGTTTTATATAAAACTGGACTTTGGTGTAGGTCGGTAGCCTGGCTAGATTTCCTCTGAGAAAGCTGAGACTGGATTAAGTTGCATCGATATGGCCAAGAAGGCTTCTTTGATAAAGTAACAATGTAATTTCCCTTTCAACAGTGTCCAGCATATGTGTAAGGGTTTACTAGTCCTTGGTAATATGATGGCAATATTTAGTTTTCTGAATGATCCTTAATATTTCTAATTAGAGAGGTGGAATAACATCTGTGGAATGAACCCTATGATCCCATTCCTATCACTTCTAAAAATGTTCTTGTTAGAAAGGAGTTTGAGTTTGTACCTGACTTCAATCGGCGGTGTAGCAGCCTATCATCTGCCTGACAGTTGATTTTTGTCTCTCCAGCAGGTCGTTAATACACAGAAAGGAGGCTAGTAGGCCCAGGTCCGAATCCTAGGACACTCCAGGGGTCACCAATGCTGACTTTAAAGAGTAGTTGTCAACCAAGATTTTTTGGCAACGTTCACTAAGAAAACTTTTCTTCAAGTTAACAGGGTGCCCCTGATACAATGTTATCCAATTTCCATGCTTGTGACTGTCAGTACATCTTTACCAAAGGTTCTCGCGAGACCTCCATTTCCTACAGTCATGTTGTTGGTCTAGAAGAATTTTGTATTGTTCAAGATGTTTCATTACCTGACTATGTAGTATTTGCTCAAACGTCTTACTGCAAATTGACATCTAACATTCAGATGGGTCTTTAGTTAGAGAGGGATATGTTGGTTTCTTTCTTTCTTTTTTTTTTTGAAAATTGTATCACTTCGACCTACTTTCAATTCACTGGGATCTTTTTTCACAAACCTATGCTTTTTAGATTGTGCTATCACGTATCAATTTTTTTCTCTCCTGAATTTGTTTTTAATTTACATGCTATACTTAATGGTACGCGTTCTTCCACAATAAATAAAGATGTTTTAAAGGTTGTTGACATCAACGAAAGAGATATATACTCGGTGACAATGTGCATGCTGCGATCTCATGTTTATTCAATTCCCCTTTTTTTTCTTTTCAATGACTATTTTTTCATCGAAATACTTTTCTCGCAATCTGCCGTTTGTGTGGAACATGGGTATGTGCGTTTGTGAAGACGATACCGTGCTCACTAACACAAGGGTTGTTGTCTCAGGATGACCTATTCGTCGAAAAGAATTTTATCTCCGGGTCCCCGTTTAAGAAGTTAAAGCCACGGGTCTTTCGCATGAGACTTTCCTAACCGGATGGGATATTATAAAGAAAATCGTTCCAAACCACAATCCGGAGTCCGCATATAGCTCTCTCCAGAATGGGAGAGGAGCGCACGTTTTGCTCGTGGTTTGCGACGATAGATAAAGAACGGAAACCTAATCGCCCGTACATCGAGTGCTCGATGTACACGACTGTGTACTTGAGGGTGTGTAAAGGTCTAAAATCTAAATCCGAATGATGACGTCTCAATTTCGCAAGGAACGTGAACGACAACATTTAGACCTAGAAGTATGGAAATGTAACTTGCGTACGATGTGGCCCTAGACCTTCAAAGTGATTTGCACTGTTGGAACGATTGATTGTTGTTTTACGTATAGTTCGAGAATTTTTCGCACATATAAAAATGTTACAAGGTTCAAATTTAGATCTTTACTCGGCACTCAAGGCCATTGAGCAGCGATGGATCTTTATCATTCCAACGCCTGCCGTGACACGAGGTCTAACGTTAGATTATAACGTTAGTAAACTCTTTTACAGTCAGAGAAGAACAAAAACAACCAAGGATAAACAACATTATACTACCAATTATCTCGCACAGCAGCAAATAAGACTTTCATGTAATAAACATGTGAATAACATTCTGGGTACGCTGGAGGATCAGACCTCTGACTCAGAGGTAAGCTCCTATGCCCCAAGAAACTATCACTTTTCTAAAGCATACTAAGAGGGACTCGTGTGGTGTGTCACCATTTCAGGAGGGTGGTACCCTCAAATCAGCACCAGTAGAGAAGGCTGACATTTCAAACCGGCTGTTTCAGTCGGTTTTTAACCCCAAATCTCCTCTCTCCCTCTTCCAGCTATGCAATATGAAGGTGAATGACCAACATAACAGTATCCCTCACTCAGCTGAGTATACTGTTTACAGGGTTATTTTCGCACTTTTGAACTTATGAACAGTTTTGCCCCGTTTTAAATTCGCCCAGTCATAGTTCTGCTTAAGAATTTATGAGGTTTAATTTGAATTCGCCCTGTTTTAAATTCGCCCAATCAAGGAGAAGGCGAAAGGGGCGAAAATAAAACGGGGGCGAAAATTTCCCTGTATACAGTACCTTCATTCATCAACCCTCCCCAGCAAGAAGCAACATATTACCTGAAATACAGGTATAAGCACAGAGGGTATAGAGAAATTGTTGAAAAACTTGAGACAAAGCAGCTGGCCCTGACAAGATCCCGCCCATCTAATTAATGGAACTACACCATGAGGTAAGTCTAATACATGTAATTCAAATCCTCTTTCAACTCTCATATGATACAGGAAAATTACCCAGAAAGCACAGCAATATAAGTCCATCATGTAAGAAAGGGGACAGATCAAAGCCGGCCAACTACAGGCAAATATCCATTACCTGTTTACTGTGTAAAACTATGGAGCACATCATCGCATCCAACTTGGTAAAGCATTTTACACATCCTATATGATCTCCAACATGGATTTAAGGAACGACGCAGTTATGAAACCCAGCTGGTGATGCTAGTAGATGAGCTTGCCCGTAACATCCAACACGGTAAGCAAACGGATTTGATCCTGCTGGATTTGTGCAAAGCTTTTGACAAAGTCTCACACACAAATTACTTTTCAAATTACATCAGTTTAGTGTTTGTGGTCGAAACCTGGCATGGATCAACGGGTTCCTCAGTAAACGTTCCCAGAGTGTGGTGGTAGAGGGCGAGTTTTCTACATCCATCCTCGTTACATCTGGGGTCTCTCGGGGCCCAGTCCTTAGTCCCATTCTATTTCTTGCCTACCCGGTAGATTAATAACTTGCAGGAGCATGTAAAGTCACCTACCTGTCATCTACTAGTATATCACTATAGATGGACAGGATTGTCAGGCAATGTTTCAAGAGGACCTTAAGTAACTAGAGCAGTGGGAGACTTTGTGGGATATATTGAATTCAATCCAAGTTTAAGTGTCAGGTGATCCATGTAACGATATCTGGATGCCCCATTCGTACCAAGTACATGCTTCATGGACAGATATTAGAGAATATCTCATCAGCTCAGTGTCTGGGTGTTGATATATCGGATCACCTGAATTATAGTAAGCACATCAGTCGGATTACAAACAAAGCCAGCAGCTCCCTTGGTTTTTTTTATGTAGAAACATGCCAACCAGGAACCAGCAGCTTTGGTCAGCAACTTACAAGCCTGTGGTACGACCACAGCTTGAGTATGCTGCCAGCGTTTGGGAGCAGAGAGCTGCAGTTAAGGTGGGTGATGTCTGATTATAGTAGGGCATCAACTGTATCATGTACACTATGCTACACATGCACCCTCAGTTGACGAAGTCTACAATTAAAGAGGGCTGATGTCAGGCGTGTACGTATGCAGAAGATCATAGATGGTCTTGTAGCCATTCCCTCAGTTCAACTTGTTCCCCTTGTTCCCCTTGTAGGACTACTCGTTCGTCTCATTCTTTTGTAAACTTTCCGACAAATACAAAAAATGTTTATAATTAAATACTCTGTCTTCTCACTTAAAATAGTTCAGTGTAACAAATTGCCGGGCAATGTTGTCTCACTTCCAAATGTTCAGATTTCATTCAAACTGGAAGTGAGCAAACTGAATCACCCCAGACATTCATTATATAATAAATAAAATTATAGTGCTTCTATATCATTTAATTGTGAATACACTGTTTTTTTCACTAATAACGTAGGATATTATTTCCTTTTCATCCTTTGGAAATTGACTGTCCTTTACATTTTTTATATCTTTTAACCAGCTGCACAGCCTACTCAGAGTACTCAGTTTGAGGGCGAGTAGTACCGAGAGATATATAGATATCTATATTTTTCAATCAAGTTAAACTCCATACAAAACCATGCAGACAACAGGTCTTCAAACAATTATTTCAAAATTTGTGAAAGGGGGGGGGGGCATGGCAGCCACGTAATATATTCGAGGTTGTTTTTCTGCTAGTCGGGATGGCCCGAGAAGTTGCGATTGCACCCCTTCCCTATAGAGAGAAGTATTTAACGTACGACTTATCATCCGTCCTCATTTCTTGTGTCAGTGTACAACTTCCTGTTTCGTTTTCATCACTGACGCCAACGTCGTATTTCATTTTCTTTGTAAGTTATGCATTAAATTAAACGGTTACGAAATAATCCATGACTTAATTTCGTGCTGTATACGTATTATGTATAATAATGAATTTAACTGTGCTAAGATTAATATCTGCTGTCTTTTGTACAGAGTAAATTCGAACTGGTTACATCCATAACAGTATACGTTGTGTAATTTATCCAAAATGTCATTTGAGAATTGGATATATTTTTATTAACTATTATATAACTGACAGATATTTGTTTTTGTAGTTTAGATTGAACATTTGACCATGTTTGACTGGGATTGGCGAGAGATGTTGACGGACATGTTAAAATGGGCTGCCACAGATCCGTGGAACTTTGTTTATTACGTGCTTCTTTGTCTCTCTCCCCTGTTTATGATCAGTGCTATCTTAGCTTGGAATTTAGCGAAACAGATTGAGGCAAAAGAAAAGGAACAAAAGAAAAAAGCAAAGCGTGAAGCCAACATCAACAAAATTAAGAAACAACAGAAGGCAAAGAAGACAGACTAGCAGAATGAACAGAACTTAACAATTGAGGAATTTGGCAGGGAAATTTGATTCTTAGTTTTGTCGATCATGTTACAAGTTCTTAATTTCCAAAGGAAGAGACTTATGTTCTAAAAATGAACTTCAAGTACATTGTAACATTAACGTAATTATTTATGTTTCAGTGCATATGTAATATGTTTTTATTTTTTATATCACGTTTATAATAATTATGTATTACTTTTAATTTCAATGTTTTTAATTCAAATGTAAAATAAAATCACCTTAATTAGTTCAAAGCCTTAAGGTCAATTCTTTTTATCAAAGGGACATAGATACCGATTTGAAGTTTACATCCAGTAAAAATTTTAACTAGACAGTAGAATGCCATGACTTACATGCTGCAAGCTTGTTAAAGGCCAACTTCATAAGAGTATAATTGTTGTTGAATATAAGAGTTAAACTCTATCAGTTTATATTTTAATTTGCTTTACAAAGAACATCACCATCATGCTATAGGAATCATCATTTAATCATATAGCTTAATTCATTCGTCCTTATCATTTGTATCACACTTTAATTAGGTCAAACCTTCATCCTTGCCCTTGGAGGATAATGGGGAAGCATAATTTAAACAAACTTAAATTTTCACTTCATCAATGGTGCTACTATATTTCTTAGAATTTATATCTTGGCCTTAAAAAGTGTTTCAAAAATATTTTTATTAAATATTCATGCAATACATTGTATTTGCACTAGCCTCCTCTAAAATGCTGATATAATAAAATGAAATTGGCATGTTTAAATGTCTTTATTTCTATATGTCATATAAGATATTGCTAATAAAAAACAAATACAAATAATATTTACAAAATAAATAAATAGGATAATGGCATATGTATACACATTTAAATGCTCAATCAATATCACAGAAAAAAGATGTTACAAAAATAAATTTTGTTTTCTGGCTTTAAGCAATTAGAATAATTATATTTTGTTTTAAAAATATAAAATTAATTTTAACAAGAGGCCCATGGGCCACATCGCTCACCTGAGAAGTTTTGACCATGTGATTCTTAACCAGATTTCCCACTTGTAATACCTGTTATGACCCCATCATACCCCAAGGGTCTTAATTTGGACAATTCAAATTCCCTACTGTGGGCCCGCCCAACCCCTGGGGGTCATGATTTGAACAATTTAGAATCTACACTACCCAAGGATGCTTCCACATAAGTTTCAGCTTTTCTGGCCCAGTGGTTCTTGTGAAGAAGATTTTTCCTATATATTTCTATGTAAAAATTTGATTCCCCATTGTGGCCACGCCCAACCCCCAGGGGTCATGATCTGAACAATTTAGAATCTACACTACCCCAGGATGCTTCCATATAAGTTTCAGCTTTTCTGGCCCAGTGGTTCTTGAGAAGAAGATTTTAAAAGATTTTTCCTATATATTTCTATGTAAAACTTTGATTCCATATTGTGGCCCAGCCCAACCCCCTGGGGTCATGATTTGAACAATTTAGAATCTACACTACCCAAGGATGCTTCAACATAAGTTTCAGCTATTCTGGCCCAGTAGCTCTTGAGAAGAAGATTTTTAAAGATTTTTCCTATATATTTCTATGTAAAACTTTGATTCCATATTGTGGCCCCGCACAGCCCCCGGGGGTCATGATTTGAACAATTTAGAATTTACACTACCCAAGGATGCTTCCACATAAGTTTCAGCTATTCTGGCCCAGTAGTTCTTGAGAAGAAGATTTTTAAAGATTTTTCCTATATATTTCTATGTAAAACTTTGATTCCCTAATGTGGTCCCCCCCCCCCCCCCCCCCGGGGGGGGGGGGGGGGGGGGGTCATGATTTGAACAATTTAGAATCTACACTACCCAAGGATGCTTCCGTATAAGTTTGAGCTTTTGAGGCCCAGTAGTTCTTGAGAAGAAAATTTTTTTAAAGATTTTTCCTATATATTTCTATGTAAAACTTTGATTCCATATTGTGGCCCCGCACAGCCCCCGAAATTGGTGCATGTTTTGAGAAGAACAATTGAAAATTTACACTACCCACAAGGATGCTTCCACATAAGTTTCAGCTATTCTGGCCCAGTAGCAAAAAACTTATCTCCACAATAAGATTTTTAAAATTTTTCTATATATTTCTATGTAAAACTTTGCATAACATCACAATAATTGTGATGCCATGTACATCAGCCCCCTAAGCTACATACATTTCAACAATTTAAATTTATTTAAACACCCAATTTTATGCTTAACGCCCCCAAAATCTACCTGTTTCAGCAATATTCTGGCCCAGTCAATCATAAGGAAAACAAAGCTTCTGATTTTTAAAGATTTTTCCTATATATTTCTATGTAAAACAATTATTCCCTAATGTCAAACTCTTTCATGTACCCCCATAGTATACACGCAGGTTCAAAACTCCAATACGTTTGAAAATTAAAAAAAAATAATTGAAAGTATACTAGTATTATTACAACATGCTGACATTATAAAATATTTCAGCTTTCCTCTTCACTGCTGTTTGTTACTTGTAAGTGTAAGATTTTTTAATGACCCCACCATATTTTTGTCGTAATTGGAAGTCCGACGATTTAAATTATTTTTTAAGAAATGGGAGAAAGGACTTGGCCCGGCATAGCATAGTTTTTAAAAGATTTAAATTCCCCTTCACCCAAGAATGCTTTGTACCAGAAAGTTTGATTGAAATTGGTTCAGTAGCGTCTGTATATATATATATGTAATGAAAATGTGAAGATAATTAATAATGTGAAAAGTTGCTAACACACGAAGAATCGGAATACGGACAGCTGGCCAGGGGAAAAAAAACAGACGCGGTAAACGGACAACGGAATGTGGATTAATAATTTAGCTCAATATTGAGATTTTTTTAATCAAGGCTCAGAAGATTAAAAAAGATAAATATTAATTTGTAGTTTTTATCGTCCACAATAAGAAAACATTTTCTAAAACGATATAAAATGTCTTGTATTGCATCATCCTGAATTTCAGCATAACATCACAATAATTGTGATGATCACATGTACATAGAAATCTAATTTTGCATCTAAGTTACATACATTTCATTCATTTAAATTTATTTTAAGTCAACTAATTTCGCTATTTTAGACAGTGCTCATTTTATATTTATGTGTAATCATGATAAACTGGTTGCAGTAGTTGGTACTAGTTGAACCCTTATGTTTGGCATTTACAGGAACTGGGTTCTGTCAGGTGAACGGAGCACTCCACAAGGAGGGACTCCAGGTCCTCTATATTATGTCCCTCCATCTGTGACTGGCAGACTTCCAACAGCCTCAGTCCTCTCATGTTTTGTTCCATATTCACAAGAGAAGTGTACTTAATATCTGGACAACAAGCAATATTAAGTGTTTTTAACTTTTTTAGACCTGACAAGAGGTTCTGGAGAATTACAGGGGTTAATGATGCACACCTTTTGAAATTTAAATGATGTAGAGAACTCATGTTACGTGTCATGTGATGAACTGCTAGCTCCAGATTCTGGTTTGTATTCTTTATGCCTGTATCTGCCAACTCCATTTCCTGAAGGTTTTTCAAGTTTTGCGCTATTTTTGATAGACCTTCCACTGATACACGATAACAGCCATTAACTACTAATGATTTTAATTGCTCTGACTTACATAGGTAAGACAACTCTATGTCATCAAACCTCACAGTTCCCGATACATTTAGATATAAAAGCTGTGGTAAATCTTCACTGAAATTCTTCATTAAGCCGGGCTGTACTGCACAGTTTTCTAGTGTTAATCTCACAAGTGTCGGTGGAAAAAGTTTTGGATTTAGGTTTGTTGTGTTACAATTTTTTAGGTGAATTTCTGCCAGGTTTGGACATCTGTCTTTTAAATCATTCAGCATTGCATCAGATAAAGAATGGGCTGATGACTTTGGTTTCCCTTTAAAAATAAATAATGCATAATTTGAAGATAATTAAATACTTTGCATGTATTATTATCTTAAAGTTTAAAAAGTAAAACTTAAAAGAGAATTTCCTTCATACCTATGTGTTTGAAATTTTCTTCATTTTATTGACATTTAATGTCAATGTATTCCGAATCTTAAATAATTTCTCATATTTCAAGTACTAGTGTCATAAATAATCATAGAAAAAAAATCATAAAATAAGCGATGTTTGTGAAACACTAATTCCCCCTCACCCTGCACATGCGAAGAAAATAACAGAAACTGCAAATAATTGGATTTTTTCTAAGTCCAAAGGGCATAATCATGACTGTCCAAAATGGCATGATCATAACAGAACTTGACCTATATATTTTTAAAAAAAATCAGTATATTAAATTTCATTTCAGTATGTGCAACCTCTGCAAAGAAAATGAATGGAAACTTATGGTGGACCAACAGACAGTCAGCAGCAAAGCAACATGCCCTCCCTTCTTTGAAGGGGGGCATTATAAAATATATTTACAGTATGTCCCAGTTCTAACTCTAAGGGTTTCTGATTTTGCAAACCATTTAGATGTTTCTATTAAACAGTGATAACATTTCCTTGAAGTTAATAATATTATTTTTTTCCCCTTGTTATTAATGCATTATGTTAAATTTGATCACTGTTTAATTAAAAAATTTAAAAAGGTGAAGTTTACAGCCAGCCAGACATGTCACAGAAAGACTGATGGATGCCATACAACTAGTGATAAGAAAATCTCATGAGCTTCAGGCCCAGGTGAGCTGAAAATAAAATTTAATTACCGGTATCCATAAAACCTTTGACTTTAATTGAAAGTAAGCATTCTGACAGGTGACTGCGTATCACTTTCCACATCTTCTTCAGATCCAGACGATAATTGAGAAGATCTACATGTCTCCATAGGGAATTGTCACGAACAATTCTTCTCCATTGTCTGCAAACTCTGGATAAGAAAATAATGATCTTAAAAAAATCAGTTTGCCATTAAACTCTACAGTGTATATCAATGGAAAATCTATTGCATGCTCAGGTGATGATAAGGTCTGAATATTTAAGAATATAAAGATATGATCCTAAATTATTTAGTAACTACCAAATGAGCCATGGAAGTATTTATGCACATGTACTTAGCTGCAATAATGTATTCCCCCTTATTTGGGGGGGATAAAAAAATCAGAGAGGGCTGTACAGTGTGTTATTGCAGCTAACATGAACTTAGCCTATACTGTAAGACGTTTTATCATTATGGATAGAAGGGCTGTCATTATCAGGTCTACTATGATACTGCCTTTAGCTATGTAGAATTTACCCAATGTAGCTTTATAAAACTACCTCGTATACCTTTATTTAGCTATTTAAAGCACAGACGCTCCTGGGAGAATTTTTCGATATCTGATTCAATAAATCATTTATTGAGCGACTGATTGATAAAATTCAGATGCCTGTGTTAAAACTATAACGCTACAGTTCAGCAGCTAGTGGATCTACCAGATCTGATTATTTCTATGTATCAATAGAATATAGGGCATAACCACTATAGTCAGCATAATCTCAGACACCTCGATCATTACCTTCCAATTATACATAATTCCTTCACAGGTAGGTAATCAAATATTTTCAGCAAGAGATTTTCTGGTAAATCACTTATTTTCTTTTCATTGTTCGACAAAACAGGCGATGGCCCCATTTCTTGAGTCAGTCTCCGACCACTCCGACCAGTCAGTCCAGTGGACCTTGTTCTCTTTTGAAAAGGTGCGTTTAGCTCAAATTAATTCGCGCACAATTATTTCGCCCCCGATGCAGGCATAATGTGACAATCCTTTTCGATAAAAAAAAAAAAAAAACAAGTCCCTGCAAAAAGTCTTTGACATGCAAGCGAGACAAGAATGAAAAATCGTTTATGCCCCAAAACCTATTCCGAAGAGGGGGAGGGTTTTACTTATTCTCTTTAGAAAAGTGGACAGGCTTTCGCCTAATTCGTCCACGAAAGCATTTCGAGTTTTGACAATCTTCCTTTTTATGCCATTTTTTTAAATCAGGAATGTTTTTATTTTTCTCTGGTTACCCTCTTTTAATTAAAAACAATGCTATACATCACTGGTCAACATGTTACCTCATGACTTCTGGCAATGCGAGGATGATTTAAAATAAATTACTATTGGTGTAAAATGATCATATAATTTACATAATATTGCAAGATACAACTAGGTTACTTTTTATTTCATATCACATATATGCTTAAAAAAAAACACTGGAATAGGTTTACACAATTGTAGTTTCAATTAAAGTCATTAGAGCCAATGTCATGGAGAGATTGTATCTGTCACACCTGCATTCAAACGAAATAAAAAAAAAACATCGACAAATCAGTGTGTAAATGATATCACCTTTACAATAAGTACGAAAAATGCCAGTCAGCATTTGACTTAATGATAGGTTGTATTTACTGACAATGTCATTGTATCGACCATTAAACTTGCGAGATTACCTGCAAACGAGTTCTTCAAACGAGACTGTTGCTATCCAGGTTTATTAATTTTTTTGTCAATAGCTTACATGCACCTCGTTTTGGCAGCAAATGCAGGTATGGGACTCGAGGGAGTGATCACTCAAACTTCGAGTTAATACCCACCTAATCTCAGCGAGATGTCGACCTTCGACATTTCGCTGAGATTAATTCCCACCGCCTCAATTAGGTTACAGCAAGTCACATGTCACATCTCCCTGTTTTGGTGACCATGGAAATTGGTGGGACTCAAGACTCCGGCGCCTTTAATTAACTGGAACCAGTGCCTAAGGGAAAAATTTAAACCACCGGTCCTCCGGGTTTAGGGAATTGGGTGTGGGCTAGCAACCCCATCCAATAAAAAAAACCCATGCTACTGAAACCGAAACAGCAAAATCACAATGAGCTCCGGCCCAGCTCGTAGCTCCGAAAGACGGGTCTCAAGAATAGCTCACGGCGTGTGAAAGCCGTCAGGAAGCCAGCAGTTCACCGACAAATCTTCTGTCGATTCTGGCAAAAACGGGGATAGGGAATTGGAATATCAGTATCCTATTTAGGTTGGAAAATCTGCCCATGCAGCAAAGGAGATCGGCAGAAGAAGCAAAGGAGATGAAAACTTGTATACATGTAACATTAAGAAAGGTTAAATGGAAGAGATGTCTGCTTATCATCAGGTCCGACCATCATCTACTGAAATGAGGACATGAGGAACAGAACCTTGTGCATACTCTTCTTAATGCTGTCACCAGAAACAACAAAAGCAATGATAGTATGGGAACCAGTGTTACCAAGACTCATATCAGCCAGGTTTAATTCCAAGGGAAAGAAGTTAGGTGACGATCATTCAATGCTACGCACTAACTAATGCAGCAGGAGAGCAGTAAAAGTAAGACTTTTTTTACATTACAGTCATTCATAGACCGTGCACCTCGCAGAGATAGAAAAAATGTGATGGGAGGCTTGAACGCAAAGGCGGGAGATGACAACACGAACAAATACAGTAACTCATCATGGAAATGATGGCATTAGAACTTTGAATGAAAATGGAGAACTTTTTACAGATTTCTGCACATTCAGTTCTCCAGTTGCAAGAGGTACCATCTTTTCACACCAGAAGATACACAAAACAGCCAGGATGGAAATGCAGAAAATTAAATACTTAGATCATATAACCATCATGCATAAGTATGGCAGATGTCAGGACAAGACGAGGAGCAGAGGCAGCCTCAGATTTCCAACTGGTTACAGCTACGCTGGGGATGAAACTCAAAAATTCAAAGACAAATCCAACACACCACACTTCAAGTTTATCACCCAGTTTATGAAGAACAAAGAGAAAAGAGAGGAATTCAGCATTGCAATAAACAGCAAGTTTGAGGCACTAGAGTGTCTGGCAGAGGCAACCATAGAAAATCTTTGGAGTAAGCTTCAAGACACTTCAAAAAGTGCAGTGAAGTCCCAAGAAAAAACAAGGGAGCATAAAGAGTGAATGATAGCATGACCATGGAAAAAGTGAAGGCGAGAAAGGATTTGAAGCAATCAACCAGTGTCTGAAACTGGGAATAGAATATAGGGAAGCCAACAAACATTGAAAAGTTAAAAAGAGTGTCAGGAAGGACAAAATGCAGTTTGCCCAAGACAAGATTGAAGAGGCAGAGAGAGCACTAGAACAGAGCAAGAAAAATCTATATGGAATAACCGGAACACTGTAGGCAAGAAATGTGAACATCAACCCCCCAGTGAAAGACAAAAAAGGCAAAATTATCAGTAGCGGTGCCTAAGTCTTGCAAGTATACCACCAAATGAATTTCACATCAATGAATGAGCGCCATAATATAGAATAGAAATCAAGGCTATAAACTATAAAGACACTAAAAAATGGAAAGGCAGTTAGTCCAGATGGCATCCCTCCTGAGGCACTCAGAACCACTACAACAAAGTCAGCAGAGATGTTTAAACCACTTCAGCAAAAGATATGGGAAAAGGAAAAAGTACCAGATGCATGGAAATCAGGATACTGGTACCTGGTTAAACTACCAAGGAAAGGGGACCTGTCGCAATGTGGAGTTTGGCGAGACATCATGCTCTGATTCATAATGTTAGTAAGATACTAACACAATTAATCTTGGAAAGAACAAAATGAGCATTGTACAAGAAAGTATAATAAGATCAGAGCAAGCCGGGTTCCACCAGGACAAAGATGCACAGATAACACTGCCACGCTTCGTTTTATCATTGAACAGTCAATGAACTGTGAGTCTCCTCTTTACTCAATTTCGGGGACTTTATGAAGGCCTTTGACAGTGTCAATAGGTCAACCATCCGGTCATTAATGTGGCATTATGGAATCCACCAAACCTCACAAGTTTAATCAGGAACCGAATCTGTATGACGATGCGACATGTCACCATTCAAAATGGAAAACTCACAGTTTCTTTTACTGTGGAAACAGTCATTGATAGACCTGCACCTCTCACCAAGAAAAATTGTGATTGACTGGATCATGAACAAAAACAAAGGGAGATGAAGACTGGAATCCAGTGGATCTTTACTAAACAGCTTGAGAACCTGGATTTAACAGATGACGTTGACCTGCTCTCGCACAAGCAACAACATGCTGAGGAGAAATTACCAAAAGCTCAAAACACTGGCCTTAAGATAAATACTAAGAAGACAGGGTGATGAGAATTTACAACAAACGGGAGATACCAATCCAGTTAAATGGGAAGAACATCAAAGATACTGACAAATTCACTTATCTTGAGAGTATCGTCAACAAGAACGGTGGCGCAGGTGACGAAAGCCGAATTAAATAAATAAGGCAAGACATGCTTGAAATGCCTTCAGACAAATCTGGAAGTCTAAAGCACTCTCCGTATGACAGCAAAATCAAGATTTTTAAGACAATTGTTAAAGCTGTTCTTTACATCTTTCTGAGACCTAAGAGGTAACTAAAACAATAAACAGCAAACTAGTCTAAAGAGTCTTTTATCAATAAATATCTCCGCCATATTTATTCCTAAACAGATGGCCTGACACCACATCAAACTAGAGGTATTGCGAGCACAATGCTCACTAAATGATACCCTTTGCCTCCCATATGATTACAGTGGCAAATTCAAGATCAAAAGTAAATAGGGGTGCACAATTACATTATGGAATAAAAAATCTGTGAAAGTATCATTAACTTTTGTTCAGTGGTATAGGAGGAGTTGCGGATAAGAGATGGGTACCCTTCAATATAATAGAAAGAATGGCAGTGTCCTTATTTTGAAATGAAACTTCCGAAATATGTATCCGATCAAATAGTAAAATAAAAGAAAGGAGCACAATGGCACAAAGATTCTCTGAAAGTTCCATTTAATTTCAATTCATGGTATAAGGAGTTGCGGATAAGAGATGGGTATCCCAAAGTGTAACAGACAGGCGGACGTACGTATACAGATGGACGGACAACCCGATCACTATATACCCTCTCACTTTTCAAGCGGGGGTATAACAACAGCCTATAGGAGAGAACCAGCCAAAGTCCTATCCATATTGACATTAAGAAGAGAAATGGGGATGGATAGACCACACTTTACATAAAATCTTCAAAACACATCACAAAACAGGCTCTGGATTGGAATCCACAAGGTAAGAGGGGGTTTGGGAGACCCAGGCAAACCTGGAGATGGTTCGTGGAAACTGAGGCAAAACCTAAAGACAAACTCAGAGCTGCTCGGATTGCTCGCACCTCACCCACTGACCTCGATCGGACGTCAAAGGTGTTCTACCATCTTGCTGATTCAGTCATGTGTTTTTATTTGAATTTCTTTCAAATGTTTTACATTTGAAATCCGAATTATTCTGTGGCACGACCAATACTTTGGATTTGCTTTCAAAGCCTGCTAACATAAGGATGTATATGGCACGCCAAATTCACAAAATGACAAACATACAAATCACATTGCCACGCTTCGTATTATCATTGAACAGTCAATTGACAGGGAGTCTCCTCTTTACTCAATTTCGGGGACTTTGTGAAAGCCTTTGACAGTGTCAGTAGGTCAACCATCCGGACATAAATGTGGCATTAATAAAACGTTAACAATAGATTTTGTTGATAGATATAGATTCATGTCTGTAAACTACTAGTATAATTTACATTCGTGAACTATTGTTAAGAGTCCACTTAAATGAGGAGAACATCAAAGATACTGAAACTATATTTATCAGATCCTTAACTATATAAGTTAAGAGTTGTAAACCATAGTTTACAAATGTGAATTAAATAAATAAGGATAGACTATGTTTTGCAATCACAAATGATTGTTTTCAGTGTAAAGCACTCTCGGTTATGAAGCAAAATTATTTTTAACACAGATGTAAAATATAGATTAACGTTGGTACCTATATAGTTTACAGTCCGTATATAAACTATAGTTTTCAACCGATAACCCTAGTTTATCGACTGTGAAACTATGTTTAGGTCATTTTTGTGAATTTGGCGTGCCATAGATGTAATTAAGGATGTACAACACACCCACCCCAAAAAATTCCTGTCGTTTAATTTTCGTTATTTTTATATATTTAGTACATGACTATATCTACTGCATGTATGCACATTTTGGACAAAATTACATGGTTTTTAAAGAATCTGTGAAAGTATCATTAACTTTTATTTAGTGGAGAGAAAATTTGTAATCAATGAACTACTTAAACCTTCAAAAAAATAGATATAAATGTAAAATTTCATATATTGCTTAAACCATTTAACGCAAAAACATAGTCATCTTTTTGATATAAATAGCATCAAAATAAAAGAAACTGAAAAACTATGCAATAATTTAACTTGAAAATTGTGTATGTTTCTAATTAAAATTTTTTTTTGAAAAAACCTGTGGTATAAGTAAAAAAGTTGCCTTTAAGTAGATGGTAGTAAAAATAATCTTCAAATTTTTTGTATAATTTTTGTACGACCAGATTTGATTTAATAGCAAATTACAGACATCCCGATCACTAATAAATCACTTTTCAAGCGGGGGCATCAACAGCCTATAGGAGAGAACCAACTTTGCTATAAATCTACAAATACACACTTTAAAAAAATCAAATTGGAATATTGCTTTTGCATAAAATATATTAACACAAAAAAAGGCTCTGTAAAGCATATTAAATGTAGATTTTTAGGCAATTTTTGATAAAACCTGGACCAAGCCTTGGAAATTGAGGCAAAACTTAAAGTGTTTGACAAAACGGATTACAGTGCAAATATACTCACTGACCTCGATCGGACGTCAAAGGTTTTATACCATCTTGCTGAATAAATAAGTCATGTATTTTTATTTGAAAAAATATAAAATTTCATTCATATAATGTTTACATTTGAAAATACGAAGTTACTCTGTGGAACGAATAATTCTTTTTTTTTATTTCTCAAATTTTAGTTATTAAAAAATGTAGTGACTGTTCCTTCTCCTGTGGTAATGGAATAAGTGAAAGTTTCTTTCATTTCATTATTTCAAAAACGTATGTCCCGTGTCACAGTAGGCATTTGCATAGATGTACACCCCTCACTGCTCAATGTACGCATTCTTTCAATGTCGTTGCTTCTAAAGTTAAAATGAAAAGCTATTCGCCGGCCACATTAACTCTCAAAATATGAAAAATTTTCTTCATCTATTAAACAATTTATATCAAATCGCACTATTGATATTTTTTTAAAAACCTTATACATGTTATAAGAATTAGACAAAGTTGCGAAACATTTTTGACAGTCGATTTGCTGCAATAGGATATTCATAAATGAAATTTGAGCGAACAATTCTTTTCAATTCTATACTTACATTGTGTATATGAGGTCTATAGTATTCAATTCTCTGATTTATCAGGTCTTTCTGTAAATGTATCTGATTCTGTGGAAAACCGTGAATAAAGGGAGGAAAATATATATATCTCCTACATTTTCAGATTTTCCTTTTTCAGTAAGGGTCTGCGATAACTCGATTTTTTGTAAAAAGTTTTTTGTTTGTTTATTGTTTTATTTAATTACAGAAGAAAAAACAATATTTATATCGTAAATGCACAAAATTTTAATTGTAATGAAGACCATTAATCGGAATGTTATATAGCCAATTGTACATAATGAGAATTTCGGCAATGTAAAATAAAATTTTCAGAATAAAAAAAAAAATGCTGCGTTTTGATCAAGAATACAATTTATTCAATTGTATATGAAATGAAATGAAATAAAATTAAGGGATGTATTTTAAATCGCTTTTACATTTTAATCGGGTTAATTAAAATTTTATTATTGATTGAAATGGTAAATATACAGCCAATCTCCATATCCCATTTTTCTTTTATGATAGATACATCGGGATCGTAGTATTCGTCATTTTGACGCTTTATTGCCAACGTTAAATTTGACGTCACGTCAAACGTTCAATTGAAATCGCAAGAGTTATCTCCCCCAGTGTGTTGTACGTCTTTAAAACCAATTAAAACCGATGTTATGCAATTCCTCCACCTATCACATTTGAGGTTCGAATAGAGCGTATATAACTCTTTGAAAATTAGTGGAGTTGATTTCTTGATAATTCTACCGGAATGTAAATTAGGCAAAGTGATATAGGTCAGAAGCTAAGGAGGCCTTATATATGCAAGTAAATTTCGTGCGCGTCTGTCTCTGCATGTCTTACACCAAGGAGGCCTAATAATATGCATGCAAATCTCGTGTTACTGTCTTTGTGCATGTTTGACGTCAGTGGGCAAGGACTATTAAAATTGACATGGGAGGGTTGTGGAATTTAAATCTTTTAGTATACATTTTTAAAATCTAAATTTACAAATTTTATTTCACAATAATGTAATGGAAATATAAGGAATCACTGTCTTTTTAGTAGAGTATGCCAGGGACATCAACGATAGTTGGAAACGTGGGATTTGGGCTTCGTCCGTTATGGAAATTATCCCACATTTCCAACTATCATTGACGCCCTGACATACTCTACTAACTAGACAGTAATTCCTTAAACCTAATTATGAACATGTTAAAAATTAACACTACTTTCTACAGTGTAGCGGAGTCAGTCGAGGATTGCCAATTAATAGATATATGAAACATATAAACTCTATATACATGTGATATTTAAGGAACCACTGTCTATTTAGTACAGTATGCATCAACGATAGTGGGAAACATGGGATAATTTGCATAACGGTCGAACAGTGAGTCCTTATATTTCCATTTCATTGTGAAATTAAATTGTAGATTTAAAGATTTTTTAAAAATTTTGAATTAATTAAATATTAAATAAATTTTATTTACGAGGGCTCCATTTGCATGCCAATTATATTTTTTTTAATCCTCGTGAAAATGACATCAAACAAAGCACGATATTTACATGCATATTTGCCTCCTTAGCGTCAGACACAGAGACAGACACGCACTAAATTTGCATGCATATTAGGCCTCCTTAGTTCCTGACCTATCGACCTTTCTAATTTACATTTCGGTATAATTAACAAGAAATCAACTCCGCTAACTTTCAATGAGTTATCACAGAGAAATCAAATTAGAAATGGAAATATTAAAGGGTATATTTCTATATTTGCAAAATTTGCTTTTTAAAACTGCTCATTTACATAACTGTATCTGGGGATTGAATTTGCTCAAAGTTTCATGTAGGAATATATTCAGAAACATTTTTTTTTTTTTACTTGATCCTAATGTAATATTAATATATGCCAGCATCTCCATGTACATGTAGTTCTAATTTAAGACAATCAAGTATGTTCAAATCATGGCTCCAGGAAAAAAGTGTAAGTTTAAAAAAAAGGACGTATATAAAAGAAATGTTTTCAGATAATATCCGTTTTCACAACTTGATCGATTTTTAAAAGCGATTCGTTTTGAAGATAATAAGTCGTTTTCACAAGATAATATCTCGTTTTCACAAGATAATAAGTTTTCAACCAAACGTATACATATAGAATGATCATGAATGTAAAGTATTTTGCTTCATTATAAATTTATTTTGAAATAATTAAATTTTAAATTAAATTTATTTTTAAAATATTTTAGAAGGCACATACGTATTTCCGTAAACTAACGAAATCAAAATATAAACACGTGCAAAGTACCCTTCGGATCAGCTAGTGATCACTCGCGGAAATTCATTTGATTGGTTAAACGATTCGTGCCCCTATTTTTTGATTGGTTAAGAAAATCCCCGCCCTAGCACAAAGCATACTGTGTGCTGGTGATATTTTTGTTGATATTTTACACATATTGCAATGATTCGTAATATATTTGAGACTGTACTTCGAGAAAAACACGAATGAAATAAACAGAGAAGGTAAGATTTTGCATTAGCCTAATGTCTTCGATAACGCTCCATTCCAAAACACAAAGTAGTGTAACCACTACTCTCGTTTTCCCGTATTTTTTTAATGTCAGTATAGGCTATAATTTTATAAGGCGTAATGTTATACATGTAGGCCTACTAAATTCCAGATTTTTTGAAAAGATGTTTGGTAATGTACTATATAAGTAAACAATACTGTAAATATTCTGTTGCTCGGGTAAATTTACTTTTAAGAATATATATAATGTAAGACTGCGTGACGTAATGACTGTCTTCAGGCAATACACATTTGTCGGTCGACCTATCGTGTGAAGGAGGGAATGACTCAAATATTCGCTGTCAAAAGGGCAATGTTTTCATGTCATTATGATCTTGAAAATAGATGGATTGGTAAATAATGAATTTGATGCTTGATGTGATATACACGCCCCTTATTTGCCCTTCTGACGTTACATTAGAATAAACGCATCGATATTTTTTTTCTCTCTCTCTATTTTTTTTTTTTAATATCGTAATTGAAATTACAATTAATTTATACTCTATGTAATGAAATTTTTTAAGCTTGATTTTGGTCAAAATATATTGCATGTCAATGAGTTCAAACATCAAATGATGGATGCTAAGCGTTCATTCTCCTTTCAGCAAAATGGTCGTTCAACATGTTCAAACAGGGACGATGAATGTGTGCAGTAGCCCAGGTGAGAGGGATGCAGTGGAGACCTTGCTGTCCATGGGGAATTCTATCTGTGTCGGCAGTAGTGACGAGAGCTCCGGTTTCTCGGAGGACGACACTCGGTTCACCCCCTCCCCCACCACATCACTCCAGTCTGACGAGGATTCCAATTCATCTGATCCCCCCATTTTCAGAAGGAATTCAAAACTTGCTAGGGTAATTCATTTTAATTTCAAGTTTCTGAAAAAGTGTGTAAATTTTGTAATACATTTTTTTCAGTTTTAATGCATGAAGATAAATTTAGTTAGATCAAAGTAGACTTAAAAATGAATAGATAATGATTTCATTTCAGTAAAGTAAATATTTGCTTTATATACCACCATGTTTGCAAAGAGATATGGAATCCAGGTTAATCTGGGTTATTAATAGTCTTCATCATTGTTGATCATTGAACTTTAAATTTATAGCTCTTGCTGGAGGATTCTTCAGACTTTCCATACAAACCCATCATGAGGAGTCAGCAGATGCCGGCAGCTATGGTGCCTAACTATCAACTTGCCAGAACAGGTGCAACAAGTAATCCATCACGGATGCCTGAAATGTTCATTGACTCTTCAAACATCCCATACCCTCCTCCAAATAAACAGAAACTTCATGTCAAGAGGCCACCACCCATTTTAAAGAAAACACAGCCAGAGGCTAAGAAACAGAAAACTTGTGACACTGACTCATTGCTAGGTATCAAGCCCATAACTGACCAACAGACTGAATCACAAAGCAGTGCCACCATTACAGTTAAATCACAAGAAAGCCCCACCATTTCAACATCCACTATCGCTACGATTCAGAACTTAAATACAGCAGCAAATCCCCCCGTGATTCAAGTGATCATTGTGAATAACCAAACAGTTGAAAATGACAAGAATGCCTGGTTAAATAAACTCTGTCCCATTGCCCCGGCACCACCACCGAATAATTCATCAGAAGGAGCAGTACAAGACCAGGGGCTGGGAAATAGGCGTAGAAGCCATTTGTGTATGTATAAAGACTGTGGAAAGACTTACTTCAAGAGCTCCCACTTAAAGGCCCACCTCAGAACACATACAGGTTAGTGATATTTTCTGAATTCATTTAAAATATCAGATGTTTGAAATATGAAACTCTCTTGCCATTTTAACAATACATGTATTTCCAAGACTTGCATCACACACAAATTTTGTATAACAAAGTAGGAAATAATAAAATTAAGTGTAAGTTTTAGTTTATACAAAAAGTTCTCAATTAGTCTTGATTAAGGTAAAGCATTTTTAAGATATTAAGGAAAATACCATACTGAACTAGAATTCTAATTTGTTTCCATTGTTATTTCAGGAGAGAAACCATTTGTGTGTCTGTGGGAGAATTGTGATAAGAAATTTGCCCGGTCCGATGAACTTTCACGTCACAAGTACACGCATACGGGGGAGAAAAAGTTTGTCTGTAGTCACTGTGAGAGGCGATTTATGAGGAGTGACCACCTTTCCAAACACATGAAAAGACATGCCACTCGCTCAGCCTAAGCAAGGTGGAGAAAATCTGCCTCATCATTGCTACACACCTTATTGGCATGACTTTTGAAGCTCATTACTCCTTTTGTTTTGCATTGAAAATGTGATTTGCTAAATGCAAGATTACCTAAGTTTCAAATGTTTGTAAACTTGATGAAATAGAACTTTTTATTTCATCATGTGAATATTTGTCAAGGTCAGTGAAAAGTTATAAGGAGGAAGGTTACATAAGCACATCTCTCCTGTCTCTTAATTTATTTATTTATTTATTGAACAAAGTTCCAATCTCTCTTGATTCTATATTTTGTACTTTCTTTTTTTGCTTTTCTCTATTAATGAAGATTTTTGCAGCAGCATACATGTTTGTGTTGTTCAATCATTTCATTTTGCATCTTTGATAATTGAAGACAATAGATATTATATAAATATCAAAGTGACTTTTGTTTGTGCAATATTTATTTATTGTATAAAAAGTACTAGCTCGTTGGTGCTGAATTACCATTTACCTTATTATTTGAATTGTGCCAGGGATTTTTTTGAAAAACATTTTTGAAGTGTATAATTTATGTTGTGTGTCATTTATATATGCTTGTGTGTAATACTCTCTAAATTCCATGATAAATTATCTTTGAACTAACAGGTATAGTGACTACGATTAGGTATACTGTTTATAGGAAAGAGAGGAAAAGTTTGATTCATATTGAATTAGTTCAATACATTTGTTTAATAGTACATACTACACAAAACAAAAAAGTTGTCTTGCACTGTTTTCTTGCTTTGAGGTTGTAAGTTAAATTTGTAATTATTAAGTTTTGAGTTGAGTTCAACAGTTAATCTTTTAATGAAAAGAAAAGAGTGATTGGTGAGCAGTTTGTGTGTACCATTAAAATGCAGCAATTTTGTAGCTGCTTATTAATATTGCAAATCATTTATTTGTATTGAAATGTAGCTTGCAGAGTGTAAATACAGTGTGTATATTATGCTCCATATTTTCTTTGTTTCTTATTTGTACATTTTTCAATTTGAATATTTATACTATCTTTAAGCTTAGAGATTGTACGTAGGAAGATGGATTTAGTTAAAATTCATCAACTTAGCACTTTATGAGATGGTACTTGGATTCAATGCAATATTTCTTGTCCCAGAATTTGTCTATTCATTTATTATACATTTACATGCAGTTTAGATTTAATACGTTTCATTATTTATTTTTTTTTAATGTTATCTTTATTATTATGAAGTTATTCTTGATTAAAGAATGTAACATACTTGATTCAGTGTTCTTTTCAAGTGTCACTTTGCATGTTTAAAACATGATTTATAATTAAGCTTGAAGGTCTTGTGATGTGCAACCATGAGGAAAAGGCAATGATTCAAGGATAAGACCTTTTGACATATATTAGATGCACTTTACTCACACTTAAATATAGGAGAAAGCTTGGTTCATGTTGTAATCATGAAAATGAGTTCAATGTCCAGAGAACGTATATTTCCACGACAGATGACGCCATGGACGACACTTTTACAGTTATTGCAAAAAAATTAAGAAACGTTGAGTATTGTTTTGCCTTAGTAATGAGTTTAACTATTGTTGTTATATATAGATCAGGTTAATTATTCAGAGAGAGTATTAAAATTGTCATTTAATGATGTGTCAAAGAAAATCCGCCCGCTGGAGGGCATTACACCCATATGGTTGACGAACGCACGTGATTGCTAAGTAATGTCAATATAATAAGTATCACAAGGAAATGTCAAAGACAAGATTTAAGGTTATTCGTGCTGATTAAATTGAGGATTTTTCGGGGCCCTCTAAACACATGCACAATAATACAATTATTAAAACATTGTACAATAATATAATAAATAATTCACTCTTGTCAAACATAGTGAAAGCTAAAAATTTGTTAAAATAGTGAAATTTATATACTATAAGTGGCGTTTTCCAGACTGAACGGAAATGTAGGAAATCATTCTGCTACACACATGTGTATATATATATATATATATATATATATATATATATATATATATATATATATATATATATATATATATATATATATATATATATATATATATACTAAAGCTTTTCTGACACGGTTACTTGTGGTGATGTACACGTCAAGTTTTCAACGAGACCATGCCATGGGCATGAGGACGGGGACTAAAAGTCCATGATACTACATGCTACATTTATATAAAATAATGTTTGTACATGTTTATTCTGTTGTGTAGTTATGGTCAACGAAATCAGGTTAATATGTCATTATAACGTACACTATCATTGTCTATAAATAAAACTGATTGGTTTCCCACGCGGTCAAGACTTACTGTATATAATAAATTCATAAATTTAATCATGATATACAATAAATGCACATGATCTGATGTAATGGTTATATCTTTTTGAAATTAATTGTTTTACATATATGTACAGTAGACATCGATGGTATTACATCTTTATTTTGTGCAACATATTAACCTATTTTATATTTAAAAATTCCTTTTTATTAAGTTTATGCAAGACAGAGTTCAATGGGTCTTTGGGTAGAGCCATATGTTGGCTGACAGCACGATATTGTTACTAAAGTAAGTTGTCTTCCGGAGTTTTAGAAACCAAGGACAATCATTCCTAAATAACGATCCTTCTATCACGTACAATATTAACCGCAATATACCAGTCAATGACGATTTCATCAGTTTCTTTTGGTTGTCACTTAAAACACATGTATACTGATCCATAGAATCAGACACTGATCACACTGACAACGCCATTTCATTGGATAAACCTCTATTTACTATCCCCTGTGATTGGCTAAGACGTCCACGCCCAACCCTAAATTTGTTTACAAATGTTCCATGTTATTGTACGGTAACAAGTTAAAGCCATAACAATGAAAAATGCTTCTTTTTGGGACGGAAAAGGTAAAAGTTTCACTTAACATTCATAAAACATTGTTTCAGTATTATAATGTATACACTAATGGTTTGCTCACATATCTTCAACTAATTCATCAAAGTTTGTGAGAGACGGTGAAAGGGGAGGGGGACTTTTAAATGCGAGAAAAATTATATATTAACTTGACCATGAATGGGTGTCTTAATTATTTGATAGTGAGAAAGGAATAGTTTGGCATAGCTTTTTCCCTTTAACTAACAATTTGTTTAATTGTCGCATATCTATGTCCTATTTTGACACTATCAATGAAATTGATACGTTTTATTGCGACAAATGATGATATTTTATGTTTGCTTTAATGATAATAAGTTTAATAATTGAATATCCCCGACGACTCCGCCTCTTAGATATCGAGGGAAATAGAAATGACATCAATAGGCCCGTGTGATGAAATTTACTAAAAAGACTAAATCCTGTTAATCGGGTCCAGAATCAACCTTTTCTGCCAAACTAAGCCTAATTAGGCCCTATGACCCATGATTGTTTTTTACACAATCTTTTGTGATTTTTTCAAGCACTAAATTTTGAACGCGTTTTGATCCAGTTTTATTAACCATTTTAGACGATTAATTCTTATATTACTACTTTTCGATTCCAGCATAGCTTTTTCCCTTTAACCAAAACTTTGTTTAATTGTTTTATATTGTTAAAATTTTATTCGAGAAGTTTTCACTCATATTGAGACTCACCCACTTGATGATGGAGGAGGGCTGAAATTTAGACCTGTACTCGGGCTAACTCGACACCGACGGCTTTGAGCAGTTCGAAATTTTTGTGCCAGTACCTATTGCAACACTGGACTTTGGTTGATATCCCATCCAAAGGACGGTCTCCAAATGTGATTCGAATATGCGACTTAGAACAACTCTAAAATTCGCTATTCTAGAGCAAACGCTCTAGAACAAAATAGTTGAGACTCTATGTATACATCAACATATAGATGAGAATACCGGTATATATCTATACATAGTGTTTTAAGAGCGATTGTTTCGATCATAAAAGATACACCAATTTCAATGTTCAAAAGAAGTTTGTAAGTAAGCCAAAAGAGAGTTGCAACCACTAATGGCGCTCCATAGCTTACTAACGCATTAACCCCATGCATCCAGCACGCAGCTCCTAAAAATTATAAAAATATTTTTCATTGCTGGCTAGAATGTGAAAAAGTGCTGGAGTCTACCTTGCACAGGTAATATTTTTTTGATTAAATTAAATTTGAAAAAAAAATCGTGCATTTATTGATTTTAATTATTTTTCAATTTAAAAAATATGGCTTTGAAAAATATTGCAAAAAGTAGTTTCAAAAATCGAAACACACTTTGATGCAATATATTTAATTTAATTCTAAACCCATTTATTAAATATATTTAATTATACCATCTGTAGATTAATCGGTATTCTTGCTAATTTCTTTAATTGAAAATCTCGATTATGCTTCTGAAGAAACATATGCTAATAAATAAATGCTTTAAATATTATCATTGGTATATTTCTTTTATTATTATTTTGCTCTTCAAATAGCTCAAGCACGTGTAATCTAAACCATAACGCATGGTAGTCAGGTTGACATTCTTTAATATGTGACCTACATTTGGACCGTTATATAAGATAATCTCATCACAGTTCCTCATTCAAAGCATACTGCTGCATAGTTGATATCTCAGGTTTTATCATATAGGACCAATATATAAGTCCGAAGTTCGAATGATAACACTGCGATCATGTACTGGACAGCACAATTATCTTACACAGAGTGACCCATATTTCAGAAAGATAGGTTACCACCTACGCTTACATTCGATTTGTTCCGATTAAGTTTTGGCGCGAAATTTTGAAGTCCCAAAAGTGAGATGCATATTATGCTTAGCTTGAAATTCCTTTAAAAAATATTGAATGTAGAGCTTCTTGAGGGAACCTGTTAAAATAATGTGGAGGTGTTTGCTTGAAACAAAACTTTTCATGGTTGGAACGGGTCATTCGTTTCATAATGTATAAAATCAATATCCTAAAATGAAAAAAAATCTCTGCATGTGATCATATACACTATATATACTTACTTGTAATTGAGCAAGTCGATGTAAAATATAAATTCTTACCAGTGAGAACGCATTACTAATCTTACTTTACAAAAGTGTGGAAATTTTCTATTGTAAATGCATATATATTATATTAATCACACGTAAGTCATTCAGTCATCAATTATACCTTTTCAGTTTATCACAATGGTCCTGCATACGCCCGATATTGACAACCCCGGGGAGAGAGATGCAGTGGAAACTCTTCTGTCAATGCGGAACTCCTCGCACATCCTCGGTCTTAATGATGATGGATCAAACACGTCTGAAGAAGACACCCTGTACTCCCCTTACTTCCGTGGCTCACCACTGCGCAGTCCGCGATTTTATGGTGATGATGACTCCTCGTCTTCTTTCCAAAATTATCCCAAATTTAGACGGTCACCCAAACTTGCTAGGGTGAGTACAAAGAATTTAAGCATTAAAGAATTATTTTTATTATAATCTAATATCTTTACCTTGCTCATTTATATATTCCAAAGTTAGCAATATCTGGGATCTACCCTTTCAGCTATTACTGGAGGACCCAGACGACTTTGACAGAGAAATGATGCGTTGTCAACACGTTTCGGTCATTGTGCCGAATTACCATCTTGCTAAAACTGGGGCCACTTGCAATCCCTCAAGATCACCCGAGATGGAAATCGATTCTTCAAACGTACCTTTCCGTCCTCCACCTCAGTTGATGAGGGACAGTGTCTCCTGTAAACGAAAGTTCCCATCACTAGCATGCCATGATGAAGACGATTATTTGGAAAATGTCACAAAAAGGAGGAGAGGAGAAAAGATAGCAACTTGCCCAACAAAAAGAAAAATTGGCGACACTGCGGCTAGGGAGGGAGTCACCAAAAATGGCCAAGTATCTTCTTTAACAGATGAAGAGACGGAAGTTTCAATCAACAGACCGGAAGAGGAACAGATTGCAAGGAAAAAGACAAAATTACTAGAGGAAATGCTGACAATTGAAGAGATACCCAAAACGAATGAGTCAACTGCTTCCACCTCTAACAACCCAACTGACAAACCTGAACCTCCAAAGTTGCGTCCCACAGCAATATTACCAGCTCTTCCAATCATTCAGGTGATTATTGTGAATAACTCTTTGGACAATCAACATGTCAACAACAAAAACGTGAAACTTAATAAATTTTGTCCAATTGCGCCTGCGCCTCAAAGTAAAACTAAAAGTGCAGGAGATGTTATGAATTCAAAGGGAAGCAGCAGACGACGCAACCATGTTTGTCACCATGAGAACTGTGGAAAGTCTTACTTTAAAAGCTCACACCTGAAGGCACATTTAAGAACACATACAGGTAAATATATTCATGGACAACAGAGCAAATAATGCATATTCTTAGAAAAAGGATAAGAATTGTAAACTTACACAACAATTTTCATTTTAGAATATCATGAACATTAGTTCAGATAATATGTCCTTTACGAAAAGTTTGAGATTTCCAATGCAAAATTATCAAATTTAAAACAATAAAGTTCAAAAAAAATTTTGTAACGGATAGTACCTTTCATACGTTGCTTAATACATACGCATGCTTTCCATTAATTCAAGGAACAATATCAAAATTGAAAGTTAACAAGGCAACGTTCTAATTAGAGAACATTAACGTTTCATTTGTTGCAGGGGAGAAGCCCTACATCTGTAAATGGGAGAATTGTGATAAGAAATTCGCCCGGTCAGATGAACTGTCACGTCACAAGTACACCCACACGGGGGAGAAAAAGTTTGTATGCAGTCACTGTGAGAGACGATTTATGAGGAGCGACCACCTTGCCAAACACATGAAAAGACATGCAAAACCTCCTTAGCATCTTGTGATAATGGAAATTATCTAGTGGACCAAATTAGTCACATTATAATTGTTGTTGTTGAAATTGCTAATTTATTTAATTTATTTGTTTTTAATTTTATACTGCTTGATATGCATGTTATTTTGATTAACAGGGTATTTAATACTTAACAATTTATGCAAATGCTGTCCTATATTCAGTTATTTTCAGAAAGGATTGCTGAAGGTTCATAATAAGTATGCTACACTGTGGATTTTTTTTTTCGAAGAATTGTAAAATTAAACACATTACATATGTAATCATGCCTCATATCAAGGTTTCTGTCCATTAACAAAACACGCAAGCAGTAAGCAACCATGCATGTCAATTATCTTTATCATACAACTATAAGCGAAATAATATTTTTTGATGTATTTGTTATTTTTTAAAATAAAATAAAGAAAACATATGCATTATTTTCATATTAACTTTCAAGTACTGAATTAATTTTAGCAAAATTGTTCTTAGCATCTTACTTCAATGATAATAACGTCTGATTGGTTTTTTGTTTGCCATCCATCTGAATGAAGTATGGAGAAAATATACATTTGTTCAAGCTTCAGAAGTCCATTCAAACAATACATACCTGGAGCAGAGCAAACATGGACCTTTAAAACATCAGAGGTGGGATCAGGAGTGACCATCCAGCACCCACCGCTCATATCGAGTGCTTACCTTGTCATTTGCAAAATAACGTACATTTTGTTAAAATATTCTGATTGTACACACAAGTACTCTGAAGTTGATATTAAAAAGATGCTCGAGTTTCTGATAACCAATATCTATGTGGTTTTTAGAGACCAGGTCTTCCATCAATCTATTGGAATTCTTATTGGTACTAATTGCGCCCCGTTTTAGCTGACATATTTTTGTATACATATGAAGCAGAATATGTCCATAAATTTATATGAAAAGAAGAAAACACTGGCTACGGCCTTCAACTCGACATTTAAATATATAGACGATGTATAGCCGATTATCAATAGTTATTTCCGTTTCTTTATCGACATGATATATCCTGGCTTGAAATAAAAGATCCACAGAGTCTGACACATCTATTTCGTGCTTGGTTCATTACTTGAAAAAAAGTTAATGGTTATCTAACAATAAAGCTATATGATAAATGTGATGACTTTAACTTTTCAATCGTCAACTTCCCTTACTTATGCAGCAATATACTTTTGTTCCACGTATGAACAATTTCTAAAACGAAGTTGGTTATTGGCATAAAAATTGATGAAGCCAGATTATCTGCAGTTTTGTTTAAAGTCATCATTTCGTAAGTTCTATGGTCGATACAATGACCTTGTCAGCAAATACAATTTGTCACTGAGTGAAATGCTGAATGACTTTTTCATACTGATTCTTAGGCTATTATTTACACACTGAGTTGTCTACGGATTTTTTCCTCCGTTATTTCCGTGGGTATGACCGGTCGGCAGGGGATGCTCACATGGCATCCTCCATGGTACCTGATCACACCTCTGATGTTTTGGAGGTCGGTGTTCGCTCAACTCCTATTTTGTAATGTTTAATAGACTTTTGAACTTGAATACAGTTCGTTATTACATGTATTTCATTCGGCGTGTGCCGAGAAAAACGACGAAAAACGGTGGAGAATTTCGTGTGTAATTAATGTACTGACAAATACCAAGAAAAAAAAACGTTAGTCAGCATTCGGCAAAGATTGTATTTGCTGACAAGGTCTTTGTATCGACTAAGAAAACTTGTGAAATGATGAATCTATTGGTATCATTGTTTCATCAACCTGATCTTAAAAATGAATTGATAACTACATACACTCAGTATATTGTCATTCGAAAACTCAAGCATCTTTTTAATATCAACTTCAGAAAATTTGTGTGTGTTTGAATGTTTAACAAAATTATGCAAAATATGACCATTTACAGGTAAATATTTTTACGAGTTTTATTTTATTGAAAAAGCAGCTGTCTATGATGTCAGAAATCCAGTTATTGAATCCAGTTTAGGTATTGTAATTCAAATTCATGTTGATTGTTAGGAATATTAAAATTATTTAAAAGTGATTTGATCCTTTTTTTATTTAAATATCTTAAAGTCTTAAACCTCAGCTAAATCTAAGCAGATGTATCAAAGAATCTTATAATTATATGCCCAGAAAAAATAGGAAAATTAGAGGGGGGGTCTTATTTTTTTCTTCAGAAATTACTAAAAATAAATTGGCATGATTTTTTCCGAGAATTTCAAAACATATTAAAACATTAATTGTTAAAATGATATATAATTCATAAAAGTTTATTTAATACTGGAATTTCAAAACTAGCATAAAACATTTTTATTGCCAAAATAGTGTTCTACCAGAAAGGAATTACAGTGCTTCAAGGAGAGAAAAAAAAAAACCCATTTTCTTATTTATAATAACCTTCCGCCACAAGATATATTTCCTGCTGTAATCCTCTTTGTATGAAATTCAACCGTAGAATCCAAATTAGAAATGATGCAGAATCTTAAAAGTATAAAGATGTAGACAACAATTTTCCAGAAGCTCATGGAACCTACTCAATAGATGGTATGGGACAGCAGACAAAACTTCTCTTACATTTTTTTTTTTTTTTTTGGCTTTTGAAGAAAAACACTTTTTAACCTGTAAAAGTGAATTTTGAAAATTTTTATCTGTTTATTAAAAAAAAAACAAGAAATAATTTTCTTCTTTTTTTTTCAAAGTCTTCATATTGTAGGCAAAAGATAACAAAGTCATTGTTCGTGAAAAAAGAGGAAGAAAAGTAACTTTTTTTCCACAACAAATAGGCATACCAAATTGGGGAAATGTTTAGTTATTGAAAACAAACATATAAAATTATTATGAATTGATAATCTACAGTTATAGAATGTGCGTAAATACACTGTAAATTCACAGAGTAAATATATAATTGGAAAACAGACTGTTTTAAGGTTCATTAACCCTTTGCTCACTCATATGAAATTTTTCTTTAACTTGTATGATTTTCCAAAGGAAATGTATATGCTGAATAAAATACAAACACTTATAACATGGCTTGCGGAAAGGCAAAATTTGACAAAAAAGGTTACTTAAACTTGACATTAATTTATCAAGGGAATAATAGACATTTGTGTCATTAAGAGTTATCTCTCTTATCAGAGTATCAATGTACCTTAATGAAAAGATCCAACAGGAAGAGTTATCATTCTTTACATTTCAAGGGTTGAAATACTATAAGTGCTATATCAGAAATTATGTCTATCTTTTTCAGACTATTTTTGCACAGTAATAGTTTTCAATTTTGAACTGTTCTAAAACAATGTACATGAACAATTGCATAATACCGGTAAAGATATATTATCCTAAATCAGTTGCAATCAATCTTCTTAAAGGTTAGGGGGATAATGTGACCAAATGTTGAATTCTTAAATGAAATATAATTAATATATATAACAAGGAAAACCAGCTCTGGGTAACATGCTAACTAAGTACAAGGTAAAGTTGATATGCCTATGCTGATTCATGCATTACCGCAGACAAGGTGGTATACATGTATTACATCAAACAATGAAAATGCTTGTGCATCTACATTGCTTAAAATTAAACTTTTATCAAGTTTGCATTAATTTCGAAATGTCCAAAGTCTTATTCAACAGCTAGCTTGTGAACTTGTAATTCAAGGGCTACTATATAATCATATTGACACCAAAAGAGCAAACACTGTTTCATGATATGATTTAATAATTAAATGATACATATTTGCTGAAGAAAACTTTTTCTTTGGATCTTTCTCGGTTTCTTAAAACAATTAATGATCTTAATAAAGTGTTAATATTTGTTCACAAATATAAAGAATGATATTCAATGAAGAACACTGTATTAGTCAAACTATATAAATATCATAATAGATATTTATATTGTTAAACTAATACAATTTCAACTTCATTCATTGTCAAATTTAAGCTCTTTTAATATTATTGAATAAACGACTTAGTATTTATCCTAGCAAAAATGTACTAGCTAACTATAGTTTACTATAATTATTTTTAGTTTACCTTGGTTGGTAGAAAATAAGTATTTATCTATAAATTTCGATTTGTCATATTTTATGTACTCTGATTTTTATTCATACATGAACATTTTTTAAAATTAAATTTATCTATTTCCTGTATATTTCACATTAATCACAAAATTTACATCACTTTGATCGGATTTGAAAGATTTTTAGCTGTGAAATCCAAAAAACCTAGAGTAAAAATTCATAGATAATAAATCAAAGTATCAAAGGATTTAATATCGCCATATACAGTAAAGAAAAAAATATATATAATGTCCTTTAGATATTAAGGTATACCTTAACTCAGATGGAAAAAAAATTCCACTAAGAACGTAAAACCCTAAAAGGCTCTAATTGCCATTCTTCTTTCTTTTTTATTCCTACTGGATGAAATCAAGAACAATACACTAGTTCATAATTTGTGAAGCAAACAAATTTCCCAAACAACCAAAATGATTTTGGATTACCATATCTATATATTGTATTCCGAAACTTCATAAAAATTCTTGCAAATAAAGATACATACCTGGTTCAAGTAATTGTTCAACAAAGCCTCTTTCTTTACTCCTCAGTAAGATATTTAAAACAGTATTGAAGGAGAGACTTGAAGAGTACTTGCAACAATATATTCGAGAAGTGGTGTAAATCAGATGTAGATACTGAAAAATTTGAAATCACAAGATTTTACCAAATTAACAGCTTAAAAACTTACGATTTTTTAACTTTATACACAACCATTCACCAGAATAAATAAGATTTAGGCTTTTTGATTTCATCGACAGCTACCTTGTCATTGGTCATTTGCAAACTTATTTTGTTAAAGAAATTCTGATTGTACACACAAGTACACTAAAGTTGTCAGCAAAAATTGCTTGAGTTTCTGATTGACATTATTTATGTAGTATTTGGAAACCAGGTCTTATAACAGTCTATTTGAATTCCGATCGGTACCAATTGCGTGGCACGTTATTAGCAAACCTATCATTGTATTCATATGAAGCAGAATTTGTCCAAAATTTTATACGTGAAAGAAGAAAACACTTGCTCTGGCTTTCAACTTGACATTTAGATATATTGACGACGTATTGTCAATTAACAATGATTACTTCCATTCTTATGTCGATACGATATATCGAGGTTTGCATGAGATAAAAGGTACAACAGAATCTGACACATCTGTCGCACATTTTGGATATTTTACTTGAGAAAGACTTTAATGGTAACCTAACAACCAAGCCCTATGATAAACGTAATGATTTTAAATTTTCAATCGTCAACTTCCCTGAAGCGATATACCGTCATCACCTGCATATGGAGTTTATATCTCTCAGTTGATCGATACGCAGGAGCATGCTATACGTTTGTACAATTTATAAAACGAGGTAAATTTTGACAAACAAGTTGATGAAACAAGAATATCAGCAGCCTCGTTTAAAGTTATCATTTCGTAAGTTCTATGGTCTACCTTGTCAGCAAATACAATTGATCATTGAATCTAATGCTGACTGACGTTTTTCATACTAATTGTTAGTCCATTATTTACACCCTGGATAGAAGACGGATTTTCCATTATTTCCCGATCATGACAAGTAGCACACAGCGGATGTGACCGGTCGGCAAGGGATATTCACTCCTCCATGGCATCCGATCCCACCTCCAATGATTCGGGGGTCTGTGTTTGCTATGCTCCTATTTTATATTATTTTATGGACTTTGGGGCTTGAATACGGTTCGTTATCTCCATATATTTCATACAAGAAGTATTTTAAAATTATAACTGGTTCAAATTTATAACAAAGGTCATAGAGAGTCATGAACCTTGCTGAATATCTGTGTTTTCAACGTCAGTAAACACAAGTAGTGAACTTTAAAATTAAAAATTGTTATGGAGTCGCGCACGGTGTTGATATCGATTTCAGTTACGTCAAAATGATGTTGTTATATGTGACGTTATAAAATTAATTTGACGTTACTTTTTTTTTTACTTTTTACTTACATTTTTATCAAATACAAATTTTATATGAAAAATAAAAAGGGGTTGATTGAACTTAATGATTTCCAAAGCCAACGGCGCCTATTTTTTTTTTTTTTTTTTTTTTGAAATGAGCAATTTTATTTAAGCATTGAATTCATATTTTGGGATGTCTTTGGTCCTATAACACACCTGGCCGTGCCGGCAAATTGAATACCGCGTGTTAGCGCGGTATGATAATTTGTCGGTACGGTCAGGTGTGTTATAGGACCGAAGACATCCCAAAATATGACTTTAATTCAAATGATAAACGTAATATTTACATTCTCTAATTTTCCTTTTCATAATTGTTTATTTCGTTCATTTTAATGTGAATTTAGCGCCCTTCGGTATTGGTGTGCTTAATAAACGTAATAGCCGATTATGCAAAGCCGTTTGTGACGTTGGAAAGTTAAATAACGCAAATAAACATTGCAAGGAAAAAAAAAATGACAAATTAATTTTTAATGCACATTTGTTGCATTTTATGTTTATTTTAAAAGGGTAGTTTTTTTAAAAATGAAATTGAGTCAAAACAATATACATTTTGGTGTTCCTAAATATTGAAAATGCATGTAGTTCCTACTGTGAATTCTACCGCGCTGTGACAAGGTTTCGCGTATGTTATAGAAATTTGAACGTCGTGGATTTCTAATGGATTTCATAAAGAAAATCATACTGAATGTAAATATATCTTTATTCAAACTTGAAAAAATCAAAACCCTGCATTTTTTTTATAATCATAAAACAAATCTGTAACTATGTTAAGGAAAAAAATGCTCCAGACATAAAAAACAACAACAGTATTTGTTTTTGCTAATAAACCTTTTTATGTTATAGCAATATACATGTATATCCTGGCGTTATTGCTGTAATAAACAGTCTTAAAGAGATAAAAAGAACAGACCAGGGAATTTAGCAAATTCATCCATATGATACTAGTACTACATATGCTTATCATATCGTACTCAGGATCACAATTTATCCAGAACTTTTATATTTTTTGTCCGTTACTGTCTGCAAACTTTGAAAACCTCCGAAAAATGGCCCATTCGGGAAAAGCCAATATTAATCAACCAAAAAACTTTCAAGAAATTCGTGATTAAATCAGTGTATGATTTTCCGAGGATTAAATTACGAGGACTGATCCAAAAGTAATGTCACAACTTCGATAAAATTGCTACTAGTCAAAGTTTAATATTTTAAACGTCTATAAAATTAATTCAATTTAACATTATTAAATGAAATTTTCAATTTTGATTAGATTTATTTTTATGCATCTTTTGGTATATGATATTTAATAATATGACGCAAAATATTAAAGATATTGACACAGTGACATTACTTTTGGATCAACCCTCGTATAACACACCGATGATCATTTATTTCACCAAGAATGCAATATTTTAAAGCTATTTAAAAGTACACATGTACTTTACAATGGTTTACAGTTGTTCACTTTTAACAACTTCATTCAGGAATGAATGAAGTGTGTGTTGAAATCAGGGTTATACTGATCCAATTTCGTCGACCATTGTTAAATAGCTGCAATTACATGTATATATATGAAAACATCAGGGGAAGTGTACATATATAATTAAATGCATTCTATAGCTTAATTATCGTCTTTTAAAATGTTCTGAAAAGGAACGAGTTCTTTTTTTGAAATTTCTAACAATACGATCTAGAACTACAAGGAAAGTATCCAGAATGACGCACATTTATGTACAAAAAAATATCAGACACACTAATCTTTTTAATGCACGAATTAAAAATTGAAGGAACACAGAAAGTTCTGACAAGAATATAAAAGATATAACCTATGAAACAAGCATATAAAATCGATGAAATATTTATGTAAACAGTGGTTTTCAAATAGAAAATAGAAGTGATCAAAACTTGACACAATCATGCATGGTAAATAATTGAAAGTGTTTACGACATTAAACGAATAAATTCGATAATCCCTGGCGCGGCACAAAGGATTGCGAGGAGAAATAAACTGTTCAGATTAATGGCAAACTTGCGTATATGTGCGTGCAGCGCACTAAAGTTAATCGGCTTCTTCTTCGGACTTCTCCCACGTGGGATTGCTGACCAGCTTCCGGACACCATTAAGGTCCGATGATCTCAGAAATTTGTCAATTGCCCGGATACCCTGCCGACAAATCTCCAGAGGGGGGTATGTGAGAGGATTCCCATCCAGCACCGATGACGTGTACCTCTCATCCCAGTCCAAGTTTGTCAGGTTCCCAAAGTTCTGTGGCAGACGACTAATGTTATTGTTTCCTATCCATAGACAGTACAGTTCTGTCATATCACATATACTGTCCGGGAGAGCAGACAAATTGTTCAAAAACAACAACAAAGTATGGAGGTTCTTCAAATTTGAGATACTCACAGGTAGCATTGTTAGATTGTTATCACTCATGTCTAAGAATTCTAAGTTTTCCAACTGACATAAATCCATAGGAAAGTCTTCGAACTTGTTATTCGCCATATGTAGACTCCTTAAGTTCTTTAAGTTGTCAAATCCTGCAGGAAGATGGTCCAACATGTTGTTGCTGAGGGCCATACTTTCCAAATTCACCAACTGACATATCTCTTCCGGAAGTTCCGTCAGTTCGTTGGTGTCTAGGATCAGCACATTAAGGTTTGTCAGCTTCGAGATTCCTCGAGGAACCGCGAGAACTTTGAAATTCAGGCAGGACTGTCTCTCTGGGCTTAGATCAAGAATCTCCAGCTCATGAAGTTGAAATATTACATTTGGAATATCCCCCAATTCCCTCCCGGCCAGTTTCAGCTTCTTCTTTCCTTTAAAGAGTGGATCTTCTGTCTCAATTCGAAGTCTGAATGATTTTATATCCGAAGTATTACGAGGGGTGTATAAGTAATATGCCATCGCATTGATTTTCAATCACAGAGTGCAAGTGTTGGCGATTAAAATGAAGCTTTTATTATTAAAGTTCAAAAGAGGGTAATTTCCGAACAAACAAACAGTTACGTCACTGTTGAAGTAAATAACATTCTTATCCCTGACTTAATTGCTTAACTATATCCAATTTTTTTCTCAAGGCCGCGATCTTTAAAATCCCTTTTAAAAGTTCCAACAGTTTGTTAACCGTAGAAAAAGTCTCTTGGGCTGGTAGTCAATATTTCAGATACTGGTACCTAAATGGAAGAAGAAACAAATCTATTATTCAGACATATTATACTGTAAACAAGCGCGTTACATTGTTCTGCAATAAATCTTATCCACAAAGACCTTCTTTTTCTACCCCATTTATAACTCTGGATTTGTCTTGTTGCTAGAATCGATGTATAGGAATCCTAGAGACAAGACCTTCTTCACTGAAAACAGGCGAAAAAAATGAATTGCAATAAAATAGCTAAAATGAAGTATACCTGTGTTATAAAACCTCTATAAATCCTCCTGACACTAACCTGATTGTTTTTTAAATGCTGCTATTGCTAACGTGCTTTCAGAGTTTTGTTGATTTTATCGACATCAAATCAAACGAAACTCTTGAACTGTCCATTCTACTCTGGAGCCAACATACCTTAATCACCAGTACCAGAAGTCCCTCAAAACAATCAGTCCAGCGTCTCAAAACCCAAACTTTGTCGGAGTCAATATTGGCCCTCTTGTTCAACTTACCAAGATAGAAATGGAAATTAGCTTTTAATTTGGGCCTCGGTCCGTTCTTTTCCTGAATTCGCACAAAAAAGAATACTAATTTACCTGCTACTGACTTGCATTTGGAAACTGGGCAGGGCATGGATACAATTAGATTTTAAAAGTTTACCTGTAATTTTTCACGTGCTGTAATCCAACAATGCGAACGTGGCAGGTGAGGTAAAAAAGGTACTAGATACAAAAATATCCTGGCTGATCGATTTTAATTACAATTGAAATTGCTCCCCCGATTATGTCGAATTTATCATTGTAAGGAACAAAGACTCACAAATTTTGAGTATACATTTCTCCTTAATCCCGCATTTGAATGTTGATCTTTCGCAAATAAAAGCACATGTTTAGCATTCATGAACTAAAAGGTTTCCTCAACTGCGATTGTCAAAAAAACCAAATCTTGCTTGGTCTGTTCACTTTTTTATCGCCATGACAATTCGTTGAAGAGACAATCAATGATGGAGAATTTTTAATGGTCCTTGTTTTTGCGTTAATGTGTTGTACCCATGAATAATTCATTGATAGTCTCTCTTCTTTACTCAATTAGACTTTAAATCAATAAATTTAATTATAAATAAACGATCTCACATACTAGAGTATTGTCTAGATGTCATGTAATTTATGTTTTAATTTACTAATGTAACATTTAAAAGTCTATATAAATTTTTGTGTGTCTATTTATTTTGGTACGATCTATAGCTGATTTACTCCCTAAAACAGAATGCTTTTATGAGCTTTATTTAAAAAGTTATCGATAATTTAGAAGGAATATTTCAAAATATTCTCACTACCCAATGATTACTAGTATGATTATTACTAGAATATGGGATAAACATTCAGAATGATTTACCTGACTTGAAATTCGTTCTTACAAAACGACTACAAATTAAATATTTTCTTTAATTAAATTAAACATAAACCAATAAATTAATATATATATTATATAGCCAATAAAATATAAGAAATAAATTAATATAGCTAGCTTACATATACATGTACAACGTATTATTACTTCATTCGTAATTATATTCTCTTTCAAGACCAATTTCTAAATTTAGACAAATTATTTTCCCTCCAATTAAACACGAATTTCTTTTCTAAAGTAAACAAGTAAATACATTTATCCTTACGTTCATGCTTCAAATCGCTGAGAATCGCGTAAAATTTTGTTGCACTAAGATTATATTTTAATCAACTTCAATATACTTTCTCAACTAATGTTAATTATTGCCTACATGCATAATCATATTATTAAGTCATACGGTGGTATATTTATCGACCACACCCACTATTTGCTTACCCAGACTAAGAGAGAAAGACAAGTCACGCTATATGATCAATAATTTTAAATCAACAATGAATTGTACATAAACTATTAAACGATGTTTGAAGACCTGTTGTAGCAAACATCTTCAAATTTTATTACTTACTTTCTCTATTGAAAGGCGAAGTTTGTACGCTGACCAAAACGGGTTTTTATTCATAAAACTCACACATTTCCAAATATCCGTACATAGACAAGTTACGGCACGAAGACAGGAAGAAACATCAAAGCTATCAACTCTTCATCAGGATCATAATTTTAATAGCAGAAGTCAGAAAACTTATACATGTAGATTTTATAATTAATCGTAACTGCTTTAATGCTTCCAATTCGAATATCTAAACTGAAACGCAAAAAGAAACTGAACGTCCTATTTGAAGTAGAAATATTATTTACAGGATATATTTCTTTTATCTAAAAAGTTAGAACATATTCAACTTTGTAAATATTGGTAATTCAGCGGTCAAATGAAATATGTGGGGACAACGAAAAGCATTCAAATTCAGAAGTCCATTAAAAATAGAAAATAGGAGAAAAGAAAACACAGACCTCTTAAACATTAGAGATGGGGTCAGGTGCCATGGAGAAGTGAGCATTCCGCCGTCTGCTCCTTGTCATGATCGGGTAATTACGGAAAAAATCCGTCGAGAATTCAGTGTGTAAATAATAGCCCTAACAATTAGTATGAAAAACTTCAGTTAGCATTTGACTTAATGACAGGTTGTATTTTCTGACAAGGTCATTGTATCGACCATAGAACTTGCAAAATGATAACTTTAGCGATACTGTTGATATTCTTGTTTCATCAACTTGTTTGTCGATAACTTACCTCGTCATTCGAAGAACATGCTCTTGCGTATCAAATCAGCTGAGAGATGTTAACCCCATACGCAGTTATATTGCTGTGCATAAGTAAGGGAAGTTGACGTTTGAAAAGTTAGTCATCACGTTTATCGTAAAACTTTGCTGTTAGATTGCCATTAACGTGTTTTCAAGTAAAATATTCAAATATGGAATAGATGTGTCAGACCCTCTGGTATCTTTTATTTTAAGCTCACCGGGATATATCTATATCGTATCGACATATGAATGAAAATAATCATTGTTTAGCATAAGTATAATTTTTGTCATTAGTACCGAAAGTTAAGTTTGATTCCGCTTAACAGAAATCAAAACAAAACATTTGGCAAAAGTATGAGATTTTAAGGGTTTGTATCTGCTTATCATAAGTAGTGGAGCAATATATATTCCGAAAAATAAATTCTCCTTTCTTTTCCAAAAGCAACGCCAAGCCATTCTGAAATGAATTTAGTGCCCATTTCCATTGATTTAGCTTGAAAATCCCAAAATAAAGGTAGGCTAAAGAAAATCCGACCTCTTCATCTGAAAAACAGGCATTCAAGAAGGCTCAGATCTAGAGGTTAATGAACCTATCGCATCGTAGAAATCAGTCTGGAATTGTTTGCACGACAGTCTTCTTGCACGCCGTAATTGAAGACTGGGTGGGTGTATTTTAACAGTCATGTGTTACTTTCTAAAGTTAAAAGATAAATACATAACATTTTTATCAAATCTCTGATGTTTTTCAATTGAATTTTACCTTACTGTATTACTTTTTGAAAATCATGAGATAAAGAATTCAAATATTTGTAGATAACTGCGTGTTGTGTTTTATTTTGCGTTTCAGTATATCCAGCTTACTTCCAAACGAGATATTTCATATTTCATGTAAGAGAAAAGGCGAGAACCAGAAGAGCTGATATTGTTAAGCGCATCGTAAAATTTGAAAATGTTGAATATTTTTCTGTACAGGTTATATTTATAAAAAAACTTTGCGAAATTGTTTTACTTACCAATTTCCCCTTGACGACTTCCCCTCTTGATATCCATTAAAAAACTAAATCTATGCATTTTGTAACTTCTGATGTTTGTTTTATTGTTTTATTGGTTTGATTTATAAAAATTCCAATACCCGGATCTAAATGAATGCCCATTTAATCAACATGGATATTAAGAACGTGCACCCAACACATGTAATTTGTATTATTTAAGAGCAGCTGACAAACCTATCAAACATAGCTCGGCAGGGGAATGTGCTTTTGGCTATCTGAATTGGTATTTTCACACCTTTTTACTTTTCCTTATCAAAACTTACATCCATGAAATGAATTTTACCTTTGTATATTAAAAAGGATCAATATTGATAAAATGTTTACATAGAGATTAATGAACTCTATTTGCAGGTGCACTTAAATCGAATTCAAATACAAGGAAAGATTTAATAATCTGTCAAAGATATATGCTCACAGTAAAACATTTTTACTTCTCCAAATGTGTCAAACATTTTCCATATTTGATCTTACCAAACAGATTTTTCTGATACATTACTTTGCAAAATAATTTCATAGGAAACATGAACAAGAGGAAGGCCCTGGAAGAAGGCAATATACTAGTAGTGAATATGCAATGTCTGAGCTCAATTTTTAAATGAATGAGTTCTTTACTCATATGTAAGAAGCATTTTCGTTATTATTTAGATTCTTTAAAAAGTACATTTATTGTGTCCTAAATTACCTGAATGCTGTAGAAAAAAATGCTTTTATTACCAGAGATTTAACGCTGTCTTTTCAAATAACACATTTTGAAACCTGTAATCATTACTTCTACCAGCAAAGGTGGTGTGTGGAGGCATTTATTGTGGTGGTCAAGTTCACTGCAGGCCAGCGAAGCCAAGGAGAAAAAATTAAAGAAAATAACTTGATTCTCATTCAATACTAGTAGAATATTTTCTGTTACATTTATATTTTAGGAGAACATGTTAAGGAGCTGAAGAATAAATTAGCTGCATGTCAACATTATATCTTTTATTGGTATAGGAGGAGTTGAGGATAGGTTATTTCCGTATGTTTCATTCCTATATATGTAAATTAGATTTCTACTGAAAATAATTTGCAACTTACACACTTAGGAATATCAAAATGTAACATAGTGTAATGAACTAAAATTCTTTTTAAAAATATTGTTCAGATATTAAATGTTATCATTCTACTTGTTTAGAAGATCTGGGCGTACTTATTTCTGCAAGTGATAATCTAATTTTTACCCATCTCTCCACTTTAAGGAGGAAATCCTTCAAACGAAACATATAGAGATAACGAACAGTATTCAATCTTATGTCGGTTTTAAATATTTTAATATATCCAACAATGAAAAATCACTTTGGAACACCATACTTTTTTTCTGAATTCATTAACTACATTAAAATCTTTTCAACTAATGATGCATTGCGGGTTCCAGTGACTGTTCTACTAAGCCTCGAGCTCTTGCTCCTTCATTACAATATTAACAATAGTGAAGGTGAAACTTCAGAAGTACTGAACAACAATGTACTCAAGAAGTGTAAATTAGATGTGGTTACTTGAAACATCCAAAGAACTTTTAAAATCACAAAATTTTATCAAAATCAATAACACACACATCGTACTTACGACTTTTCAACTACGTATACAATCATTCCCTAAATAAATAAAAGTCCAGACTTTTGACAGCTGCTTTTTCAATAAAAATAGAACTTGTAAAATAACTCACCTTTTCATAATTGGTATTTTGAAGATTTTAAAAAAATAAACAAATATAAAAACACATTCTGAATGTATACTCAAATACTCTGAAGTTAAAAAGATGCATGTTTCTGATTGACGATATCAGTGTGTTTTTGGAGATCGAGTCTTCCAACAATCTGATGGTGCTCTCATGGCACCAATTATCCCAGTTATAATTATGAATAGACTAATTTTTGTATCAAAGCAGAGTTTACTTTAAAAAAAATCACAAAAGAAGAAGAAAAAAATTATTTTGGTTTACAAATCAACAATGAAATATTTCGACGATGTTTTTTTCAATAAATAAAAGTTACTTCCATTCATATGTCGACCAATTTATGTTAGTGAAATAGAAGATATCTCAGAGTCGGACTCACCATTTTCATATTTGGATATTTTTGGAACAAAGTCGTTAATGTTAATCTATAAACAAAGCTTAATGAAAAAACGTGATGACTTCAACCTTTTCTTTTTTCAGCTCTCTTTATCTATGTAGCAACATTTACCTGTCAT